CATGTTCGTCAATGACTGTGAAATTCATTTTATAAAAGAAGGTTGTCCATCTATTGAAATTAATTTAATTAACATTTTTCTTTTAATGTATGCTGACGATACGGTGCTATTTGCAGAAACGCCAGAAAAGTTACAACATATTCTGGAAGCTCTGAAATCATATAATAACAAGTACAAACTCAATTTGAACACTGATAAGACGAAAATAGTAGTTTTCAGGAATGGTGGCGGGATACGAAACAACGAAAAATGGTTTTACGACACTAAAGAGCTCCAAGTCGTCGACCAGTTTAATTACTTAGGCATGCTCTTTAATTACAATGGTAAATTTTATGTCACTCAAAAGCATGTTGCAGATCAGGGTAATAAGGCATATTATGCGCTTTGTAATAAGTTCAAAAATCATAATTTTAGTATCAAAACACAATGTTCTGTATTCGACACTTATATAAATAGCGTCTTAAGTTACAGTGCAGAAGTATGGGGCTTTCATAAAGCTCTTGATGTTGAAAGCCCCATACTTCTGCACTGTAAAAGGCTACTCGGAGTTAAGAAGAGTACGTGTAATAATTTAGTTTATTGTGAGTTAGGAAGATTACCATTGTCTGTATGTAGAAAACTGAAAGTTTTTAAATATTGGTTAAAATTAAATACTTCGAATAATTGCATTTTAAAAACATGTTACGAGGAAAGAATTTTATCAAATGATAATTGGATTCTTGATATCCGCACAGAACTCAACAAATTAGGTTTAACTTACCTTTGGGAAAATGTTAGAAATGATAGAAATATCTATTCTTTTTATAAATACCATTCTATAAGTAATTCGACACTTACAACACGATACACGTTTTTTATTCTGCAATTGTTCATGGACAACAAATGGTAAATCAGAATAATCTTTTGTGTATGGACAATAAATCAATACAGTTTTCCTTTCTTTTCAGATATATATTTTTTCTTTAATAAATAACTCAACGGAAACATGTTGCAATTAGAATATATTTATATATATATATTGGATGAGGCAATGTAACCCAATTTAGACTTTGTTATTTTTCCCTATTTCAGATATGTCATTTGAGGCGTTTATAAAATCGCTGGTGGTGGCATCGGAGCGATATCCCTGGCTGAAGACAATTCGTGGTGGCGTACTCAGCATGATATCTAGTTACCATCACTGTGCCAAATCATGTGAGCATCAGCATAGCAAGAGGACTTCCGAAAGGTCATCGTATCCATACCTTCGACTATTGATATGTAGGTTGTCTGGATGTGTTTTAATATGACTACGGTTTATCTATAATTTGGAAGATTCCTTTCAGTACAACATTCTGTCGTTATCACTCATCACTCATGTATGCGTGGCCTTGTATTAAGACGTATTGCAATAACTCAGCAAGTAGGCTGCTGTTCAAAAATCTGTTGATATCCATACGTTGCGTTTTCAGTTGTGATAAATGTCATTTATATACATGTTGCCACTCTCATCTTATTTATCCTGATATCGTTTTGGTTTTCCATAATCAATTATAATCTAATGAATAATTTACAGGAAATCTTTATGCGAGTTTTGATCAATTTTACGTTTTTATATATACAGCAAATCTTTATTAAATATTCAGTTAATAATCAAATATATATATATATATATATATATCGCGAGGTTCAGTTAAGACCTTAGCCGATAATTCGATGATATAACTGATCGTCGCTATTATGATTACACTGTACTTCTATACATTTCCAACTTAACAAAATTCCTAAATATGTCCTTACGTGAGATTTTATGCAATACTATATATATATATATTTATTAATGGTGCATACAATGAGAGGGAAAAAACGAAATAAGAATCATTTTCTTAATGCTCGAGCTGTGTTAATTGACAGGAATACATAGGTGCTTTGATTAACAAAAGGGGATTATGTATGAGCCTAGTTCAAATCACATTTCAATAAACAGGGACACAATCTGAACTCTGGAAATAAACAACACGAACTGAGGAGACAACAATACGAACAAACAATAAAATTGAAACAAATAGTTTCATGTATCCATCAAATGAATTTATATAAAACTTTCAAGATGTTTGATATTTCATTTCGCTTCCGAATACTCTTCTGAATAAAAACAAAAATATAAAACGTGTACGATTATCGGATAACCTACATGGACCTACCTTTGATATAAAATAACAAAGCCGATAACAGCGAAGGAGTCTTGTAAGTTATACTGCTATTGTTTTTTGCTGTTTTAAACGAATCGATCATTTTACAGAAAGCTGTACCTAAGTAAACAATGATTATACAATGAGAAGTCGGATACATGCTGCCTCCAAGCCTAAAGCACTGTAGGCTCCAAACGCCCAATATCTTTACCGACTCATACTGGTTGGGTGTGGATTCTTTATCATAAGCGTAAGGTACTATGCTTGTTAACAATAAATAAAGATAAGATTCTTGAGAAGTATTTCAAGGATGACTGATGCATTACTTTATTTGTATTTGCAGGTTTAACGAAGGACTTCTGTTTATAACGGCCAATAACACACGCAAGTGAAGGATTTAGGATTGGACAAGTTTTAATTTATTGATATCTGTCGTCACCACAGTATCTATTTGGATGTACTGCTAGTGGAAGAAGATAAAAAGTTGTGATGAGTCACAATGTTTGGTTTGAGATTTAACGAGATTGCAAAAACAGACACAATTATTTCTTTTTTCATCAAGTTATGCTGGTTGGAATGTATACGTTCAGTTTCTTTCAGCTAATATTTCCCAATCTATTTTATTTGTAGTCTGGCATGTAATTATCTGTCTAATGATTTCTGTATGAAGAATGCTAATAATTTTGTATCTTTACCGTGGGTATTCTGCATGTGTCCTGTCCATTAACCTCCTCAATTGGAAGGGGTAACCAACACATTGGTGATTTCCATCGTTCCCTGTTGGCTCACTTATTTACAAATGTTATTGGTGAACGATTATGTTCGCTTTTTTCTGGTAAAGACAAGTTTCAAGTTTTCGATACATGAAATTTGTTATTAAACGGATTATTACCTATATAAGTATTGCCATGTAAATGCTAATAGCAATTTTTTATCATTTATATTGGAAAATAGGTCTCAAGAACAGAACATTGCGGAATTCCTGTATTTACGAAATGAAAGTTGAATTGTATCCATCTGTGAAAAAATATTTAATCTATATCAGAATTCTGGTACGAAAGAAATACTTTTGTTACAAAGGTTCGAGTTTGTATCTGAGGCTAACATACCTTGTCGAAGACATTTTTCGTCATTGTTTGTCACAAAATACAAATCTCAGTATATTCCCATGAGTAGATTTCTAACTGTCGTGTGATGTCTTGAGAGTTGATTAATTGTTAAGACAACTGGATGAAATATTACACTAAGTGAGAAAGTTACATCCATTTCGACTGACAGATATAAAACTACAGTCAAATTAATTAATGCGATTTTGGCAGTTCACTGATCCTTTTTTGTCTTTAAACTGTTGCAACACAGTCAAAATACTGAACTAACATTATTAATATAATACTAACATTTGGAAAAAATTGACATCAATTCTGTAAATAAAATGTTATTTTGACAAAAACAATTTGTTTATTTTAACTTGAAAGTAACAACAAAAGCAATGAATCATTTACATACTACTTGGGATTATCCTGAAAATGGTAGGATCATGGAGATCAGATCTGTGAAAGTAAGAACCAATCTCGTATCCTCCGTTGTGGCCGCTTACATGATCATATACTATAGAGCAAGCTTAAGGACACAATCAAATCTGCTGGATATATTATCATTTTTTATGGATATCTGAAGTAGAATCCTTTAAACCCTGCAATACGAAATGTTCTAACTGCAGTAAGCCAACTTTAAAAGAACCTGCACAGTTTTTTTCCATTCTCGGATTTACGGATACTACGTTCATTCACGTTCTCTGCTACCCTGGAATACGTGATGACAGGAGCGAAGTTATGTTTAAAAACTGACCAGTCGCTCGACTGATACTTTTCCTTTGAGAATTACAGAGGAGCGTCAGCCGATTTAGTTCAATGCCGATCAGTTTAAATGCTATATTGGTGAGACCGAGTTTGTGCCGACACTGATAATTAATAACGAATCGATCGCTAAAACGCTTTGTTTTTCAAAGAATGAACTAATCAATTCAAGTCCTAGAGAGATAATGGCCTCTTCACGTAAACAGTGCTATCGTGGGGATAAGTATGCTTCTTCCACAGAAAAAGTGTGGCTTTGGTATTCTATTTAGTAGCCGGCTACCAAATTAGGATCTTTCGATAGTTATTCCAATGGTCTGGTCAGAGGCGTGAGTTGTGACTCAATTATTTCCTGGAAATGATGTGTAGTAAGCCGTCAACAAAACCACAAATTAAGATTTGCCATGCTTTTGGTACATTTTATGTATCATTTGTATGTGAAAACCCATAACCCATAACGGGCCTCTTGACATTTAATAACATTATCTACGGTAATAACCGTATAGCAACTGCAGTTGAATGAGAGGTTTTATACGACTCGGGAGTTTTACTGTAGGATTAGTGAGTGGTCCGACGCTAGAAGATATCTAGCTAATATTTTCAGGGGCGTAAGAAATATTTGCTCTGCGATACTTACTATGTTAAAATTGACAAAACCTAATGTCATTGTTTATGAAAAAAAATACTAACAAACCAATAACATTGAACAAACTATCAGCTGAGATGTAATTTTATAAAACCAATGCCATTTTATAAATAGTCACTGTATACTTTATAAACTATTGTCAGTTTATATCAATTTGGCACTGTGCCGTAAAACAGTGACAGTTTATATAATTTTGACGCTTTAAGTTAAAACCGACATACAATTTAATATCACTTTGACTCTAGTATCAACCATATTTTTAAATTTGCAATTACAATATACAGGACATTTAATTATTACATACATGAAATAGGATCCAGAAACAAGTTATTAAACTTATATCAATCTGTTTCCTTAGCAGAAATAATAATTGATAACAGAGACTTGGAGTAGAAGAAAGAGAAGAAGAAATAGGAAGAGAAGAAAGAATAGCATTGGATGTATGAATTAAATAGTTAATAAACGTTTTGATTTAGTAATAAAATGTTGTACACAGTTAAATATATTTCGATTTTGGGCAGGTGAAAGATTGTTGTCACCAAACAGGAAGGTTTCTACTGAGGTATGATTTTGTATTGGCTAGAAACATATTTGTCTAATGTGTTCATAGTTACGACAAAATAATAGATAATGATCGTTTGTTTCGTTTGCCTCGCGGCTGGAACAGAGTGGACTCCCTACTAAATTTTTATGAAAAAGATGGCCGTTTAGTGAACCATTTCATTCTGAGCCTGGCATGGTATATTTGGCCTATTCTAGTACCACAGAAGTAATATGATTCTTTTTGTAGTAAGTTTCTGTTAAGATGTAGCTTTATTTTTTTTATGGATGCGTCATTCCGTTGTCTTCAGGGAGTTCATTCCATAGATTGACAGAAGCAGATAGGAAGGATTTTTGATATAAGTTTGTTCTACAACGTACAGGTCTAAATCTATTTGCGTCTCTAGTGTTATGTTGGTTTGACTCTGCAAATGGATAAATGAATACGTAAGACAACTTGATTATATAACTTATTCAAATGTGTATCAAAATGTTTATCAATCAATCAGACAAATTTTAATGAAACTGCATGCATGCTATTCTTCTTTTCACTGATTATGTTGTTGTCTACATAAACACTTAAATTAATATTGTTACACATTGCCGTATTATGAATTAAGAAACTGATTTGTAAGGGAGCCTATTTAGCCTACCGTGTTACTTATTCTGTATTTGATATCTAGCTCTTGTTTCTAGTCTCGAGCTCTAAGTCTATTTTCTTCTTACTCGTAAAGAGGTTTCCTCACGATTTACAATTTCGAATCATAATAGAGTAAAAGTGATGCATTTTTCTGAAGACTTTTAATTACAGCAACAAATACTGTTTCCAAGGATAAAATTTAATCGAAGATTTTAAGCCCGAGGCTTGAAATGTAAGATGACAATCGGGAAATGTGATCGTATTACGTTTCTCGCATAACCTGCTACCATATGCTGTGTCATTTAAAGAGCAAAACAAAAGTGATATTATGATTCAAAGTTGTGAATATCCATTCATTCATTCACTCATTCAAAGTGTACACATTTTCATTGACATTTTCATGATCAGCGGAAGCAGTTGAAAGTTTCAGTTTGCATATATATATAAATAACTCCTACCCGTGAAATAATATATCAGTACTGAAATATGGATATCTGTTAAAAAGATTTCGCCAAAATTTGAATAACAAGAGGACACTTTCTACGTAAAGTATACAATATATGTATATGTGTCTATGACTATTCAATGCTGTGTTTCAGACTCATATTTTTGAGTATTGTAGCTTGACCCACACATGCTAGGACAACAGTTAAGGTTCATATGTTGAAGCCAAACCTAATATTTATAAGGAAATGGTTTTATGTGCACTTCCTCTTGTCACTGGGTTCGGCAAATTAGACATAGTAACAATGACAATAAAGAAAAGAGCCGCCATTTAAAAAACATGGCATCAATAATGTACAACATCATGGGAAAATAGTCAACCTATTGTCTGATGTAGATTTAACTTTTAAACATATATCATTTACAATAACGATGTTATACAATATATATTACTAAAATATCAAAAATGGCGATCATCTTGGAAAAAACTCTACTTGGCCCAATATCCAAAATTTATCAGTACACCATTTCCTAAATTCATGCCAAGTTGCATGCTTTTACTAAAAAAAACACTATTATGAACCAATCTTCCGGACTATAGGTTACCTTACTCCGTATTTCTAGTGGTTACTTAATCTTTTATTTTGACAGTAATAACCCAGACACATACCCGTTGCAGTCGTCACTGAAGTTAATATTGACGTTATCAAATTTTAAAACCTTAGTAAACGTAGGCATTATCACGTTTACCTCGTTGTTCACATCAACCTTTATAACATTGTTTTCACATGGATTAATTGGGATGACTTTCCTAAACAGGACTTTAGTTGGATTATCACCAGCAACCTCAGAGCGGACAACTTCACCATTTACACTAACAATGATCTGGTCCGCTCTGAACGGAGTTGTGATTCCGTGAAGATATACACGAGATGTAGTTTGGAAATGTTCACTTACTACGATGATCTTAGTTCCTATGACGCAATTTGTTGATTTCTGACGAGTTGCAAGGGTATATCTACCCTTTCTATAGCCCACACGATAATTGCATCCAAAGCCACATATGCGACCACTTTGATGATGTTCTTCGGCATCTATTCCCTGTTTTAAATTACTCTGATTTATTTCATCCATATGATCACACTTCTTGGAGGATTTGTCATGGTTTGATTGTATCGAACAACAGCATTCCTTGTGTGTGATATGTGAGTGACTACAGCATTCCTTGTGTGTGATATGTGAGTGACTTCCAGATACCCCACCGTCTTGATGCACCACAGTTACTTGACTCGGGTTTAATTGTCCCTGGCTGTGGATGTATCTGTGTATTTCTACCAGTTCGTCGTTGCTCAGAACCGACTGTTGGAAAACATGACTACAAAAGTATTCAGCATTCATGACTGGAAATCTGACATGGTAAATGAGGTCACCCAAACACATCCGTCTGTTTTCGTCCGTCACCGCCACTTTTTGTCGACCGCATTCCGCTTCAGCCCACCGCGTCACCGCCTCGTAAACAACTTCTTCATCTACGGCGAGGTAATCAGATGCAATCAGCTCATGAACACAACCCTTGCAGAGATATGCGAACCCCGCTGATTTAAGCACATCAGAAGCAGATTCTTCTTCGACACGTTGACAATCTGCTAACAGTTTGTCGTTAGGAAAGCTATGGCACCGCTCCCTCATATAACAAACGTTATCTGGAGCTAGATGTTCTTCGATAAAATCATAGCATTTCTGTTTCAATATGTCCACCAAGTATTTGTCAGCAACTCTAAGGATGTCGGCTACATTATCGATATTGATATCAATGGTGTCTGTGTACATATATCTGTAATAAAAGAGCATGCAAAAGTAAAATACTCAAGTCATATCGCATTTGGAGCGTTTTTCAAATGGTAAGTACACTTGATTGATTCGGACCTATTTATAGCATTTTTTCAACCGACTCTTTTCACCCAAAATATAAGTATAACCTTTCGACATTCTGGCCACAAGAAAAACTGTTTCTTAAATAGTATTAAAATATTGAAAACACGTTATATTGTGGTGATATTTACACTGTTAGAATTACTTCCTTGTCCTGATATGATTCCATACATATATGCCAGAGACCAGTTCTATCAACTTATATATCACCTCATTAATACATCAAGTTAGGACCAAGGAGTCTTATAATGTTTCATTTCGTGATGTTTGTTTTATAAGAAATTTGTATATCTCCCTTTTAAAAATCAATGCAAAATTATTATGGTAGCAGTATACAATAACGTACAGGGGTCATATGTGATCTTTTTTGAAAAATGAATAACCCCTGTAATATAACATGTATATATATATTTTAAATCAGCACATACAATTGTCATATATATGATGAAGTGAACTTTGTGGGTTTCATCATTTTCAAGAAAAAATGCATTTGGTTTGAAAATACAGTTACGGCCATATGCAAATCAGTGTTTACACAACAAAAGCTGTTTTTTCATGTAGTCTAATTTTGAACTCTGGACAGGAAATAATTATTGTGAAAAATCAACCAGAAGAGGCTATTCTAAAACGTGAGTATTTCTGCTACTGAGAAGGTGATATTTGGTTTAAAACAGGTTTTAAGAAAACACTGCTATTTGCAGTGGTAACATGTTGGGTTTTTTTCATGTTGGGTTAAAAACTAAGTTTTGTTTTCATTTTTTTGACTTTGGTCACCATCGTTTTCACCAGACTGAAAGGAGAAACGCTTCTTGAAAAAAAATCATGTTTTCTAAACAAATGTATTTATCTAGTTTATATATGTATTTAGGTGTGATGTGCAAGATGAGCTCACTAACTACGTGTATCTCAGACAGATATACCTTTTAGGATCAGGCCATTTCTACCGTACACTGCTACAGTGTACCTATGCCTTTACTACAGCGGTAACTACGGAAGATAACCTTCGTTGTCACCTACACTCTATGAATCCATTTGTACAGATTTCAACATTGCGCTTATTTTTCGTTCTAGAATCTATCACAATATCATTTGTTAATGGTTACTTTTTCTATAGAACGTATGTGAACTACTTGCTCAATATCTGTAAGTCATATAGATCTAGTATAGTTTTTAATTTTATATGTCGGAAAAGACATACAAATAAATATTACTTGAATGACAAGACTCGAGGTTCGCTAAAGTTACAACAACCCCATCGTTGTTTGACTTGGCGTCGATTGATTGTAGGTGGTAGAAATATGGTGATTAAAGAAGTGCGGTTAAAAGTTGAGTGTATAGTAGCAGAAATTAAAAGGACAATCTACTGTCTAACAGATTTTTTCTCGTTGTGTAAAAAAGTTCGTAGTTACGGTACGATGATGGTCAGTAATATACAGCCAACATCTAACTAACTAATACACGATAAAATAACGGTCAGTAATATACGGCCAATATCTAACTTACTAATGTACAGCCAACATCTAACTAAGTAGTATACGGCCACTATTTAACTGTAACTAATGCACAATACAATGGTGCACGGTACAATGACAGTTAGAAGAATACGGCCAACCTCTAACTAACTACATGTAATGCTAACACGTGGCTGCGGTAGTGATAGTGATTAATAGTCAGGAAAAAGTATGATAATACAACCTCAAAAATGCATTAAAAGTTTCCTTTGATACATCAGTCATAGGGATATCCTTCTGTCCGGACATCTGGTTCTCTTGTTCAGACATTGGACCACAGAACATGGCCTCAAATGTAGGACTCCTGCTGATAAGGATGAATTTGTGGGCTTTTACTTTGCTGTCTTCTACAACAAAGGTAACGTCTGTGGCTACTTCAGTTCGAAGCATGTGAGTAATGCACTCGGAGAGTGTTTTCCCGCTTTGCCATGGTGTTTCATTAGCCATCCTTGCTACAATAGGTAAAACATGGTTACATTCTATAACTACCCTGTACTTCACCAGGAAATCACAACGTACGAAACAACACTCAGTATGATTATACTTCGTTGTTATATAACATATGCAATTATAACACACAGTGAATCAATCTTACTACATAAAAGTTGTTTTTGTTGTTTTGCTGGGATAAGTACAATTGATCAGGATTTAGGCTATTTAATTGAACAATCAGTCAGTTATGAAAAAAAGTTGTTAAGTCAGGATGTTCTTAATTGTAGATATCTCATTATTGTGCCTTGACGCCATTAAAGAACGGGCATTGATAATAAACATCAAACACATCAAAGGCATAGAAATGTTAACATATGAGAAAAAGTGAAGGAATGGAAAACGACATGGCTCTGAATTATTCCGTTAGGACAAGTGGTTTCGAATTCCTACATATGCATGATTTACGGTCACAGACAAACACATTACAAAGTTGTTCGTTCTTTGTAAAAAAAGGTGTCATCTGCATGTACGAATTTAGAATATTTCTTGGTTTAATAATTTGTCATTTTTCTTTTAAATAAGAAAATATGTATAAATACCTTTTATAATAATATTTTCTTAAACTAAAAATGTTATTTGGATTAAGAAGCAAACTCTAGCCATAATCTTGTTGTTATTATCAAATCAAAAAATAAAGCAGTCATGAAAAAGACTTTTTAAAATTACTTTTTAGTTGGAATGAAATGTTCATAAGGTTAAAAAATATATAACAAAAATTGACAAAATAAATAATTTCTAAATGTGTAATAAATGTGTTATTTTCTGCTGTGTGAACTTACGAGTTATAGTAGAACTTATTGTTATTGTGTTTAAGTCCAAATATATATTTGATATAATGCTATCAAATACCATCCAACATATCTATATATTATTCCAGGCACACACGAAGATATATGTATACCCCTTATTGGACCCCGTCGATAAGCCAACAAACGTTCAAATGAGTATGATTAAAGTCACGCTAAAAAAACATTAAGGCTACATTCGCGTATCCCGGTTGAAACGGTACGTGTGGCGCAGAAATTTTCCACGATAAACGAACACACTTGGACCGTTCTATAAGCAGAGCTAAAAATCCACAGTTTCGGAGAATAAAAAACAGTGTTTCAAGAATAGTATGACCTTCTTCCATCCGTCCACTGAATTACATAACGTAACTTAAAAACTACATGTGACTTGACATTGTTTTAGAAAGAAATAACGCAAATTGGCATTTTAGTTTCGGTCAGGCACGTCTGCACCCCTCAATCTAAACGTGCCAAATTTTCCTGAGGTCAGCCTCGGTCCAGATCTGTACCCTGTCGTTTTCTTTACAGGTTCAATCGGTTCAACAGTTTCAACCGGTAACGCGAATGTACCCCTAAGTGAAGTCCGGGCAGAGATTTCTAATAAACTAAAAATAAACTGCACATGACCATGTCAATAAGTTGGTATTTTGTTACATTGTGATTGTATGTACCAACACATTTATCTTGTGATACATAATGATATTACCCATGGCTGATTTTATTTCCAGTCTATCTATGTAATGTGGTAGTAGTGTCGAATTATATGGTCGGCATATTGATTATAACAGTGGATCTGCTAGCCGTATTGTGATAAAATCAGTTAGAATGATACTTACCGTAGGACTTTACGTCCATACACTTACTTCCTGCATACAGTCTGGTAACAATTCAGTGACCCTATTTGGGAAATCCATGTTATGATGTATAGAAACCGAAAGTAGAATCAAAATGGGGCCGTCGAAAGGGAACACCACTTACAACAATACAATACGACAACCGGATTTATTCAAAATTATATCCTAAATGTCAGAATAAAGCATGATATATTTATTAATCGTATAACATATATCATATAAATCAACTAAATTAAACATTAACTTTATAATAAAGCTTATAAACTATACACAAATGTAATATTTATTTAGTAAAATTTATTTAGATTGATTATAGTTTTCCATATATGTATATGTATGGCCTGTGCTCGTGGCTCTCTTGGTTATGATATCATATATGGGGAAATGCAGAACTTATTTCATCGGAGATAAAGGCTACAATTTAAACATTATTTCAATGTACTTTCATTTATTGTGTCCTTGTCACACTTTTTTAAATGCTGTTATTATCCTGTGTATATAGAGTATCATTATTTCCTGCTGAATAATTGAATAATATAACAAAGGATACTGTATCAAAATGTTACCATACATTTTACAATAATATTTGTTTTACTACAAATAGCATAAGCAACTCTAGGTCACAGGTCAAATTGGCCGAGACACCAGTCATTTGCACTCTTTGCTTGACAAGAGAAACAGACGTTTTCGAAAGCTCGCAATTCAACTTTCCAATAACTGTTTGTGTGAACAACAAACTGAGCATTTATTTCTCATTCCAAACTGGTCATTATTTTCAATCAGTGTGACATACTTTATATTTTCACACCCGATAACAATTTAAAGGTATGCCAGGTGTCAAGAAAAAAAGAGTAAACAAATGTAAAATGATATTGTTCTTTAAGTTAAGTTTTTGCATTATGAACCAAACATATCATCCACTTAATTGATGACTGCGACTTGATTAAGCATTATCTGTTGACTGACAATAACCTAATGGAAGGCTTCATGACACAGCTGTGGTGAAAGTCATATGGTCCCTATAGCAGCAAGAATCATGTAGACTAATAAATAAAATAGACACGCAGGTCTAAATATAGTCACATTAGCTGATCGAAAACTTAGAAATACATTACTTAGAAATATCACAAATGGATTTGAAGTTTTTGCTCTCATTGTACTATTGCTCAATTGAACATAAGCCACCAAAACAGTGCACTACAATACTATTACCTGTGACATCTAGCCGTGTTTAGTTTCTTTGCTCAGATTTCTCAAAAAAACACGCTAATGAATAAAATGACTCTTTCAAGACCGTACCAGTGATCGAGCGATTTTACCCAGTTTACAATTTAATTAATAAGTTACATAATCTATGTTCTAATAAACATATAGCCACGATCTCACGAGTAACCCACTTATGGTCAAGATATATAACGTACTGCTTGTTACGGGGGATGGGGATGGGGGTGGGGTATTATTGCATCGAGATTGCATTAAATCGTTCAAACAAGGGAAAATAAACTATGGCATACATAGATACATAAATATAAATACATAGAAATTTGAAAAGTAAAAGGAGAATAAGACCATAAGTTCAATGAGTGTAAGCAACTTCTGCTTCATCGACGGTATTGCCATGTACACTTATGTCTAATCCAAATAATATCGAACTCCCAAAGAGAAAAGCGGCGTAGAAACCACGAGGCACATAATTGGACGTTAATAATAATGTCGACCTTATCAGTCAGCATTCGATATCTATCACGATATTCAAAGTAAGTCTGGAAAATAAAAAATGGTCCCGGTTATCATACAGCTTAGTAGTACTAAGCCGACCATGTTTGTCATGTTAGTAAAGATTGGGTAAACACCTGACGCAGACGAGTCTGCAGTATCCATCATTTTATAAGGCATATACTATCGACGTGGCCCATAAAGTTTTAGTTATTTAAGATAACATATTTTGATATATCTAAAAGTGAAATTGAAGGCCTTGTCCTGATAAACTCTTCGATTGCAACCTGACGTGTGGGTCGACCATGATAGGAGAACAGCATAAAGTTACCGCAGTCTTCATTCTCATTATATTTAATCTCAATCTTTATTGTGTTACCACCATGGATTTGAAAGGCTTTTGTTAGAAAAGCTTTCGTGATAAGAGAACGAAGTCGTTCCCTATAGTTGGTGTGAAGTTTATGGGAGTGAACAAAAACGTGTATTGATCAAAAACATTTTAAATCCATTGTTTTCACGGTTATGGTATAAGGATAGCGATCAGTAGTTTTAATAATGGTTTAGAAGCATATTTAGTTGACTAGAACTATACAACATTAAACACGGTATCTAGATATCAAACTCTCGGGCATGTATCAAGACATACAAGCTATTTTAAAGTTTGGTTTTAAATACGGCGTAATGGTTAAACAGTTTGGTTCGATAACAATATATCAGACTTCACAGTAATAAAGTAAGATTTGTAGCGATCAAAAGCTAGTTACTTATCAGAAAGGGATGGCGAAATTGAACACGAGGATCTGAAAGGGTTATGGCTTTGTTCTACTCTTGCTTTGATAACATTGTGAATAATGTGATCATGGGAAAACGATTGTACAGGTAACATAGACGTTTTTGCATTTTTATTTAAATGTACTTTTATGGTCGCCATCGTGATACCATAGGTGAATACACAATTTCTCTGTATATTATGATAATTATTGTTCTTTGTCGTCATTACCCCAGTTCTTCATATGAGGACGTCACATTACCTGGATTTGACCCATATTTATATGACGGGTGTCGTCAATGAAACAGAAGACACTTACCCCTCCAGAACACCTGATCTGATCCTTTTTGTAACTTTGTTTAAGTGTATCAATGTAAAGCTTTCCTTTATTCATATGCCATAGAGTTCTCGTTACTGTTCTGCTGACACTTCGGTAATCTTTTGGGCTGTTACAGGTTAAGGAATACAATTGTAAGAATGTTTTTGTGAAGACGTGTGTCAGATATAATTATATTACCCGAAATTTTCACCACAAACAAAATGAATAGGCAGAGAAAAGTAGAAAACAATATATATCACCGTCAATACACACGGACAAGATGAGAACTCGGATTCGATTGTTAAGAGTACAACATGAACAGGGCTCCAACCAAACAAAACGACACCAAGCAAAGAGAACCGCTATATTAATGAACCGCCAAAAAAACCTTATATGAAAACAGGTGCTCTGGAAGCTAGTCCGAATTATTCTGATGTTTTAGCGACTTTTTTTTATATCGGTCTGTCGTCGATTAACCGACGACAGACCGATATTAAAACAAGAGGCCCAATGGGCCTGATCCGCTCACCTTGTATTAATCTCACACCTGTAATCTTAACCGTGGACTAAAATACAGCTAGAGGCAGAATGACAGTGTTTGATTCATAAGAACCTATTAAAAGATTTAAACATATGACGACTGTGACCTTGAATGTCAAACAAGGACATTAGGTTAAACAGATTTTACAGTCTTCCAACCCAGCATGCTTTTGCCAAAATATCATTACCCTGGACCTTTTGGTTATACAGAACAAGTCATTTAAAGATTTAAACATATATTGACCACTGTGATTTTGAATATGGGCGAAGGTCATTCATTTTAACAAACTTGGTAGCCCTTCATCCCAGCCTGATAATGGCCAAATATCATCACCCTTGGCATTTTGCTAATTGAGAAGTCGTTAAAAGTTTTTTTTTAAAACATATTTGACCCCTGTGACCTTGGATATACTTCAAAGTCATTCATTTGAACAAACTTGGTAGCCCTTTATCACAGCATGATACTGGCCAAATATTATCGTTCTATGGCTTGCGGTTATTGAGAAGTTGTTTAAATGTTTTAACATATTTGACACCTGTGACCTTGAATATAAGTAAAGGTTATTCATTTGAACAAACTTGGTAGACCTTCATCCCAGCATGCTACTGGTCAAATATCATCACACATTTGGTGCTTTGGTTATTCAGAAGAAGTTGTTTCAAGGTTTTAAACATATTTGACCCTTTGACCTTGAATATAAGTCAAGGTCATTAAATTGAACACACTTGGTAGCCCTTTATCACAGCATGATACTGGCCAAATATCATCGTTCTAGGGCTTGCGGTTATTGAGAAGTTGTTTAAATGTTTTAACATATTTGACACCTGTGACCTTGAATATAAGTAAAGGTTATTCATTTGAACAAACTTGGTAGCCCTTTATCACAGCATGATACTGGCCAAATATCATCGTTCTAGGGCTTGCGGTTATTGAGAAGTTGTTTAAATGTTTTAACATATTTGACACCTGTGACCTTGAATATAAGTAAAAGTCATTCATTTGAACAAAGTTGGTAGCCCTTCATCCCAGCATGTTACTTGCCAAATATCATTATACTAGGCCTCTCAATTATTCAGAAGAAGTTGTATAAAGATTTTTTAAGACAATTGACCCCTGTGACCTTGAAAATGGATGAAGGTCATTCATTTGAACAAACGTGGTAGCCCTTCATCCCAGCATGCTACTGGTCAAATATCATCACACATTTGGTGCTTTGGTTATTCAGAAGAAGTTGTTTAAAGTTTTTAACATATTTGGACCCTGTGACCTTGAAAATGAGTGAAGGTCATTTATTTGAACAAACTTTGTAGCCCTTCATCCCAGTTTTCTTCTGGCCAAATATCATCACCCTAGGACTTGCGGTTATTAAGAAGAAGTTGTTTAAAGTAAAATATTGACGCCGGACGACAGACGCTGGACGGACGGACGACGGACGCTGCACCATGCCATAAGCTCACTTGGTTCTTCGGGCCAGGTGAGCTAAAAAGTCGATAAAACGTCAGATTAATTCAGACTATCTGGAAGCGTGAACATTTCCTGTTTTGCACCATGTGTTGAAGTAACAGTGATGTCATCCGTTAAATCCAAGAAAGTGTGAAGCTTCTCGACGATTTAAGCCATAGTAAATATCATTTTAGACACTGAAATCTTATAGTAAGAAATCAGACCATGACGGCCAACTTCAGTGTTAACAACGTAGATTGAACACTCAATACATTAAAATAAACAATTGATCTCTAGTGTTGATTTAGAATTGTTTGCTTGAACTTGCAATGATTTTGCTTTTGTTATATAACATAATTTCCCAACGGAACGGTGAGTTTGGGTACTTACAGGCACTAGCCTTGTCTGTCAATACACCCATAATATAATGGGTGTAAGTAACAGATGAGGCTATAGTACCTGTGGGTTACTACCAATATTTCTCGGGTAAAATTGAACAATCCCATCCTTGGGCTAAGATTCTCATCATCCAACCTCGGCCTACACCTCAGATGGATTATGTTACAGAATTAAAGCCATCATCTGGGAGGTTCCAAATGAGCGTTGGTTGGTTATAATACCTATCAAGCTCGAAAAAAATAATTTTAAAATGCATAAATACATGAGGTTAATCTCTACAACCTTGAAATTAACTTGATAATAGTAAAAGAAACATGATAGCCAGCCATAACGAGTTTAGGGATCTTTTTCTGTCGTAACGTTATATCTAGAAAATCATGTATCCCTTGCAAATTACATTGAATCATGATGTAATTATGACAGATGGCAGTGCATATAGTGGTGTAACGGGACATCATTCTACTGTAAATGATTTACCAATGAAACAGTGTCCAGGCCCCGGTTGATCATAGTTTGGTACAGTAAAACAGTGGTTAGGGGGAATTTCAAATAAATAGCACAAAGCATCTGGTATCATTTCACTGCTATAGTGTTTTTGAGAAAGATCAGATCAGATGATTTTAAAACTTTAATATTTTGTTTAGAAAGCCCTAGTTTTTTAGTGGCAACAATTTCAATATTTTACTCACCGGGGAATAAAGTTAACCAACTTTTGAGCAACCAGGGCCATGGTGTTACCCACTATACTGGGTTACCAACAACGACATGACTTTTAACACTCTTGAAAGATTTTATAATGCATTTTTATTGTTTGAAATAAATATATATTTCTTCATCAACATACACAATCATTCAGTTATACACATGCATGGTTACGATAAATTATTTGTACATTGTTTGATCGGCTAAAACCATGAACTGCATTACAATGTAATTTCAAGGTAAGATAAGTTTCAATCTTTGGGATATCAACAATCCATTTAATTTCTACCTGTGTATTTATGCAAGAGACTTCCCATACTTAACAGATCATTTGACTGAAATGACAAAATAATTGGAATACATTCTCTTTTTAAAGTCTTAAAAATGACACATTTTCATTATTTTGTCATTAAGTAAATTGTACAAGAATATCTAAATTTTGAAATAATTAACATCTACAGATAACTATTGCTTGAACTGAATGTAGTTTTCTCAGAAAAGATACAGTTAGACTGAACACTTCACTTAACAATATCTTTTAACATTGAGTGCTATCTTTTAAACTATCAGGAGTCCACGACTGATCTATTGTGTAACACATCAAAACATTTCAACAAACTTCAATACAATTATCTATCTATCAAGAGTTTTAAATGCCATTACCACTTATCAACCCCGGCTGCTACAAATATATGCCCGTATTTGGAAAAATATGACCAGAATACTGTATTCAGTATGAACAACGACCGCGAAAGACCAACAAACAAAAAAACAAACAGAAACAAAGGACATTTTCCGTTTAATGTTTTTTTTATATTTTAAACAGAAACCTATAAATCATCTGATATTATGCTTACAGTCAATTGAATCGTAGGATTTTCTGTAAAACTAGATGACAGAACTAAATACACTTTTCCAGTATTGAGCTGTTAAGGTATTAATACCACATTTATTCAAACAGACTTTATATGATTTGCCTTTTCTTCAAACCAAATGTAATTGTTTTAAGCTGGTAGATGTATAGTGTATACCATGAAACTTTTGCCTACTCCAAAATTCACCTTTCACCAGTAAAAATCCACCTTTTGCCAGGTGTGAAATTTGCCATTCACATATAAAAACTATATCTTGTATACTGTGTACAAATATTAGCTGTCATGACAAATTTGCACTCATTATAGAGGGTGAAAAAGGCAAAATTAACCATGTTAAACTCCAGACAATTATCTTGTCTACTTGCAACCTTTTCTGGGATGTCAGATCGATAGAGTTTGTTTTTCAGCTCTTTTCTGATCTCAAATAGATTACTGTATACATTTAGTAAAAGGGAGTGTATGTCATAAAATTGTGGCTGGCAAAAATACACATGAATAATAATGAAATTCTGAAATATCAAGAGATTATAATACTGGATTGTAGTATCCACATCAATACATTGTATAGCGTTCAGATGAAATTTTAGCTGTGGTAATACTGTTTATGAATCTGTTTAACCTTAAATCATAGCAATAATCATATCTGTTGTAAATTACTAATAGCTTTATATAGAATCACCTGCCTATTAATATGGCTACAGCTAAGACATGAAGAAACAAAGTGTACAGCATGATTCAGGCAGCTGGAGACTCATTAAAGACTAGATAACATCATTTACCAACGGAGAATATATAAACATGTATACACTTAAGTTTAGGATACAAACACAACCAGTGTCATCCACGAAGGTTTCATACAAATTTATGGTTAACTTGTATACATAAATAATTCTACATTTTTAAGTAATTCAGAAATAATTGCAGGATCAGAAATAATGTTAAAAAGCAACACTCCACACATATCGTTGAAAAGTAGAATTTCAAGTGAGTTTTTTTTCCCCAGGCAAGTCCTGAACATTTTTTTCAAATGTTTATGAGTACCATTATAGTGGGCTTTCAAAATACTGATTAGTCTCACATGGAATGCACGAGCCCAAGACTCATATATCCGACTCCCAAAAATTACTGATCTTAAAATTGTACATTCTGCAATTTACCATATACATGTAGACATTTCAGTTGGGTGAATATATGTTTGTTTGCAAACTTGAACGATATTAGTTTCATACATAATATAATATACCATGAGAACAATGTGTTAGGTCCATGGAACTACGTAGTGTTATATGTTATTTAATAATTTATTGATCACGTTTCGATGTACAAACAATATCTATGACTTAAGCTAACATGTTTCAGCCATATTTATTCATCACTTTAATCAATGACATGCAGGACGTATCAGAAATTTAGATATCATCTGACAGCAATGGCACAGACTGGAACAAAAAGCATTTATCAGGTGTCATATTTCATACAACATCCGTACATTCTCTATAGGAAATGAATAGAGAACCAAAGAAGGAAATTTTGCAAGATTTGATGGTTCAATTCTACTTAGGGAAAAATTAAAAGCAGTAAAATGGTTGAGAGACAAAAGTTGGCAATTTGTAGGGTAACTCATTGGCCTTGTATAAAGAAGATGTTTCAACAATACATTGGTCACTGAGATGTGACTAATCTATTGACAGCTTTTCCTCATGACATATCGGTTAGCTCCATTGGCCCTGTTCGATTTATAGATCAGCAAAGATATTGGTTTAACCTGGAAGTCACTTGATTGGTGTCATTCTGTTGCTGATGTGGAAATCAAGAGCCTGTTTATCTCAGTCATTTGATCACACATCAAACGGAACACAGCCACGGCATCCAGAGCTCTTGCTGTACCCTTATTCCCAGGGAGAAAGGAAATGCAAGAGTCTTTGAAAGGTTCATGTCATGTTTCACAGATTGCACTAGCCTGGACGTCCTCCTTCACCACCACCAATACCGCAGGAATAATAAGAACACAATCACTATAATTAGTACTGCTCCTATCTTTGCATATGACGACCGCAAATTCAGATTGTGAGCATCTTTTCTGTAGGTCTTTGACATATCTGATAAATCGCTGGCTTTTGAATCCAATTCTGAAAGATATTTTTTAGTATATTACACACACATGCAATTATTTATGATTAATGACGGAGTAACAGAAAATATTATGTTAAAATGCAAAGGGACGAAGAAATCCTAGCAATATTACCAACAACTAAAGTGACACCAAGGACCTAAGACTATAATTGTAATACAGGTTTATAATAAAAATATTTAATATCAAGTAACAAGAATGAATGTTTATGTTAATAGCAAAGCAAACAAACCTTCAGCTTACAATTACAATTCATTACTTGTCAAGAAAATTCAATTGGAGTATCAAAAGAAAGCAATGACTGAAATTTTGCATAAACTTAATCCAAACTAAAACCGACTGTTCTGTCATCATGACTTGCTGTATTGACACCTTGAACATGTTTATAAATAAAGAGGGCAATCTTATAGAAAATTACCTGACAGCTTCTCTCCACGACCAAGAACGTCATCAATATTTTGGACCATGATTCTGTGAACATCTTGTAACTCTGTGTTAATTGAAGAAAGGTTTTTTCTTGCTCTTGAGTCCATGTATGATTTTCTAGCTTTCTGTATGTAAGTATCTGTTCAAGAAAGGAATTAGTTATAACACATCATACCAACACAAATTGATAATGTTTCTAAAATCCTCTTCTCCAGGGAAATGATCATGCATCAAATACATAATTGGTTATGACAACATTTACACCGGCTCTGACATAAAACCTACTAGTACAGGCTATGTTCACCGGCTCTGACATAAAACCTACTGTTACAGGCTAGTGAATGGGTCACCCTTGATAACAGAACATATGTAGGAATATTTTCCACTTAAGAGTTGATTTTACCTTTTAATTCAATGATGAATTGGGTGAAATATCTTCTTATCCAAATATTAATTTTTCAGCAGTTCAATTTCTGGCACTTTTCTTCAGGTGTCATCTACTTTAAGTTACAAACATACTTACCAAATTCAATAAAGCTGTAAGGCCTGGAAACAGTTTCGACTCTTTTACCATAGTGCGAATTAAACTCTGTTTGTAGATCCTCTAAGTAGGAAAACGCAAGTCTTTTCGAAAATGTTTTTTCACACAGAATGAGAAAACACACTCCTCTTTCAATCAGGTAGCTACAAAAGACAAAACATACCATAGTTAATTTTATTATACATAGTATCATGTCCTTTAAATATCACCCAAATGCTTTAAACTTATAAGATATATAAGATACGAGGAAGAAGAGAACACTCCATCTTTAACATTATTTCAGCTTTAACACTGTTACTCTACTTTGTACCAAGATTGTTAGTTAGCAGTGCACATTATGGAATTTTCTCCAATCATGATTTTGGTGTCATCCATAAAAATTGACATCAAAAAGCATGTTTGATGATGAATTTTGCAAAACATTATTATCAGCTACATCTTACAGATCTACATGTATATTTTAATATTTGATCATATTTGTGATCAACATTTATAGCATTTGGTATCTTCATATGTTCAGATTGAAGATTAAAACAGCGTTATTTTATCCCCAATGAAATAAAGAATGTAACCAGATAATTTAGGATTTGTTTCATTTACAGGTATTTTTATGTTTATAATTATAACAGCAACTCTGTATGTACATAAGCTGGCTGTATATAAATATAATGCAGGGATGCCAGAGTTCTTTTTGCATTGTAAGTGGACCACTGGACAACTTACTGGAATATAAATGGTCCTGTCTCCAGACTGCATCTAGCTGGAGGTTGGGGGTCTGACATTATTTTCTTGAATAACTGTTTAGACTGCGTCTGGTAATCCATCAAACTCCTTCCGGCCTGCAGAAATAAATCCATTTTGATGAAAACTTGACTAATTTAAACTTTTTGAAAAAGAGCTAATATATATTTATATATATAGTTACAATGCGCACCATAGAATATGTTTGTTGCCAACTGCATTCATATATTGTATATGCCGTCAAAATGAAGGCCATTCCTTACATAAATTATTTTTCATCAACCTAGGCTCTGTTTTCATGTTTAAATCATAATTTATTTAGAATAGTAGTTAGTTTGCTTGTGTAAGTTTTGTGAGTAAGACTTAATTTTTTGGAGTGATATTTGTTTTCCTTTACTTTGGGGAAATCTTTCTCATGTATTAGAGAAATGTTTCTTGATGGACATTGCTATTATATTTAAAGGTGAAAAGACAGGTGCTGGGGAATACATTTATGTATTGATCCCTGTAGGCAGAGCTCAGAATACATTTTTTTTTGACAAAAAAAAACAAAAGAAAAAAATTCTTTTTGCTATGCTCTAAAGTTTAGAACATTTCCTAAAATTAACTATTAATATGTAGCAGAAATGATCATGAACGGACAGGGGCAACGCTGACAAGACACCACTATAGATCAATTGGTATATATATAGTGTACATCTGATTTTAGAGGTCCCTGGTTCGAAAACCGGTCTGGCTATGCATTTCTTTTTTCCTGGAACAATGTTGTTATGATCGACCATTGTTTCAAGTACACCGGGTGAATACTTGGCAAAGGAATAGAAACTGGACTAAGTAAAATTGTTGATGACCAGCTGGTAGCTCAATTGGTAGAGTGTCTGTCTAGAGATCTGAGGTCCAAGGTTTGAACCACAGTCTGGCCTTGCATTTCTCTTCTCTTGTTACATTTATGCAAATATCAGATGCATAAAGGGGCCTGAATTTAATTTGAGACATATTTCATTTCGTAGCGGAACTGAACTGGGTCGATCATTTGGTGGACAAGGTACGTAGCTCAATTGGTAGAGCATCTGTCTTGAGTTAGTCCCAGGTTAGAACAGTATTACTGTGGAACAACCTTTCTCCAGATACGACCGGAGCGTCTACCTTGGATGAATTCAAGGCGATGTTGTCAACCAAACAGCAGTAGACAGACACTGGTGTGTACACATGGTTTTACTCAATGAACTTTTTTGACACTGTCATTATCTTAAAATTAAGTACATGCCACACATGTGCAATCAGCGTGATATCCAATAAGACTTTGCTGATTACTGACCAGAACCAGGTTAGAAACCCCAGTCTGTCTGTTGCATTTTACCATTTGAATAACCACGAATGTGTACACATCCCTGGAATAACTAACGAGCTGAAGTAAATTAAAGCAACTTTTGTATATCCATATTACAAACATCATTTGAATTTCTTATCTACTAAGTAGAGAAAGCGTTTATACTGTCTTTTATGGGATATGCTTATTGAAAATTAAAAAAGGTGGAGATAACTCTACTAATCTTCTTTTTATGGTACTGTCATTTTCCTTATCTCGCATATTGAAAGTTAAGATTTTAATTTCCTTAAATTCTTAAACATGCTCAATAACAAAACTTAGTGACACATATCACGTCCACATCGCCATTCAAATATACCGGATGGAAGGTAATCGTGTCAGTAAAATATCTTGAAAGAGCTGGACATTGTGAAAGTAAACACATTATTAAATGCATGTGGCAACAGAGTTAGGAAAATGTCCGACTCGTTGCCTTTTTTACCGTTTCATCTTCTTGCATGGAAGCAGCTAGGGGTAGAGCATCTGCCACCCTTGCTATTGTTGTCATAAGTACCATCTTCTCGCATCTAATGTTATTTTTTTAAAACGAAACGATAATATAGTCACTGATCATGTACCGATACACGTATATTGCTGTGACGTGTAACGTGACGAGTGTGGGCATGACAGGAAAGAGTAAAATACCACTTCCGGTCGGTATTTCTGTTTTTGGCTATTAGGCACAGGATTTAGGAATTGTTTAGCTATATAGCCATCTTGGAAAACCAAATTACTTAGTGTCGGTTAATGTAACACACTTCTTTATATGTTTATAAGCAGTTATATTTGAAGTGTCCCGAAACGTTCAAAAAGGGTCATAATATTTTATAATATGTGAGACGTTTCAGTGTGCGCAACGTCACACGTAACCATTACAAGCAATATGGCGGCGCTCTCTGGGTCTCTTGTGGTCGACAGTCTCTGATGTTTATCATCAATTTTCCTCATAATTGTTTGGCTACAACTTGTCTCAGTGGTGCAGAAGACAACACCCGATCATAGAAGTGGACGAATTCGTTCAACTCTTAATTCTGGGGTCAAATTATCAGGTAAATGAGAAGACATTGACAATCTCGCTGTTTATGACAGGATTTTAAATACCCGGTGTTATTAGTGTCAATCAGCTGTTACACGAACACAGACTTAATGTCCTCTTAATTGTTCAATTTAATCATAATGTTCAAGGCAAAACAGATTGAAGTAAATAATCTAAAAAGACACGTAACTGTCCAATATTGATCAGTGGTCAAATAATGATTGCTCATTTGTGACAATAAGAAACACTACACGGAGCATATTTTACAAATATATACTAATAACAACTTACCTTTCAAGTAGACCGATTTGTTAAAATAGTGTCATGATTGACAACAACAAACATCTAAGTACACAAATGGTTCAAGGTCTCAGTGTTGTTCCTGGAAATTAAGTTGTTATTTGCACATTTTATATATTCTGACACTGGCTTCATATTTTGTAATGCAGTGCTTGGGTTAAATGTATCATCACAATGATTACAGATATACTTAATCAATTAAATCTTTTTGAAAGCACACTCAACTGGAACTACCCCTTTGAAGTCAGTATGTTAACAACTTATTTTTCTACCTCCTTTCCACTGGGGCCTGCAACTTCAACTTTGGGAAAATATTGAACCAAAAAAAGGAAATAGGGAAAGGCCAAGGATACTGTGTAAGCTCCCAAATTTACCCTAAAATCATTGGTTAATGTATATGTGCGCGTATACCTAGTTTGTAATGATCATGACTGTGTGTTCATTATTGGATGTACATGTGTTCTGAATTGTTTCATGCACTGTTTATGACCATAAGGATACTGTGTACATTACTGATGAACCCCCTTTAATGATTTCAGTATGAGCAATTCCACTCCCTGGCAGTATCAACAGGGAGCACAGACAAGCACAGGAACAGGAGCTGGAGCAGTAAAATTATTTAACCCTGCAGGTTTTGGAGCAGCTACATCTCAGCCAAGTAACTTTGTCAACAATGCTGTTCAGGATGGCCAATTACAAGCCAATGGCCAAAAGGAAGCAAGCACCATGAACAGTTCATGGGACTGGAGCCCATCACAATGGCATTCTGGTGGAAATGAAGGACACAATAACCAACAAAGCAACGCTAATCAAGGTCAAGGCCATGATGTTCCAGGAAATGTTGACACATCAGTGTACGAAGGTCAGGCATATGACCAGACTCAACAACATCAACAATATTACAACCAGCAGCAGTACTGGGATCCTAACCAGCAGCAGAATCATCAACAAGTGCTGAATCAACAAGCTCAGGGACAGGATTTTCATGGTCATCAAGATTGGGCTAATCAACAGTATGACTATAATCAAACATGGAATAATACTGACTATAGTCAACAGCAAAGCCAGCCTTTAAATAATCATTATGATGGCCAACAAACCTTTCAACCACACCAGGAGAATAGTCAGCCTTACAATATTATCAATCAAGAGCAGACACAGGGACACTTTAATTTAGAACAAGATCAGGATCATCTTGCCAACCAGGGACCTAATCAGGAACATGTTTATAATCAACAAAAAGTAGAAAATGATGGTCTTAATTCATCTGCAGCTTCAAACTATAGTGGAAGTCTAAATCAGTCTAGCATCCATGAGGATCAAGGATCTACCTCAGGTTTCTACCAAAACACAGATCCTGAAGATGTAGGTTTTATGGGACAAATTCATGTAGGGGAGGAGCCTGTTGTAAGTAGTGGGATTGTAAATCCTCCAAATGTTGTACATTCCAGTGCCAATGACAATGCACCATTACGCATGGGTATGGTTGGTGGTGAACAGTTAGAAAGCACACAAGATAGAACTGATATGATTGATGTGATATCACAAGTCAATCACATGAGAATTCAAGACAATGAAAGTTCTGGTGGGGTAAGCTATAGTGCTAAGTCAGTAGATAGAGCACAAGAACAAGGGTTTGGTATTGGTCAGCCAGTTACTTCAAATGACCCACCAGCTAACCTTGTACAGACTAACAGTGGTATGATGGCCACTGCTGATGATCAGCAAAGCTTAGGGGACTGGGAGGTGGTACCATCCCAGAATCTTGCTGTACCTGGGAATCATAGTAGACAGAGTTCCACTGACAATAATGTCCAGTTTTTTATTGGCTCCAGCAGGAACTCTCCAGGTAGTGGGCGTGGCACAGGATCACCCTGCTCAGTTATACAGGGGCAGGGGGAGGAAAAGACTAATCTGTCTGTCTTCAACCCACAGCCCCCACAAGTATGTCAGCCTCCGAAACCATTCCAACCTGATTCTATGTTGCCAAAGTACACATCCTCCCCGAATATTACACCAGAGACTACTGTGTCAACAGAATTAGGAAAATCATCTTTATCAAACACAGGTCCACCCCCTTCCATAGGTACTCCACCATCGGGCAGAGGGGGAGATAACCCATTTAGAAAAAATGGTCAACAGCTAGCACCTACTGAACCCCAACAGGAATTAAGGCATGGAATTACTGGAAATGTGTCCTCCCTTGAAGGTAGCTCCTATTCTGAGGGTGTGTTGAGTAGCAAGGATAGTTCACTTGAACCACCTAGTCCAATTCTGAATACTGAAGACCCATCACAGACACTTGGCAGTCGTTTTGGCCAAAAGATGAAGCCACAGAGCCCAATCATGCCACGGAAAGAGAGCCCGTTTCAACCTCCAGCCAGACGCAGGAATATATCGGGGTCTAGTGAAACTATAGAGGAAAATGCTCGTATGGAGGAGGTTTCTCGACAAGACAGTCGAGAAAGTCTAACAAGAGGCATAGAACACAGTAAGTCAATGGGTTCAGATAGGTCATTTGGTGCAGGCAGTAGTAGGAGATCTTCAGGAAGTGATTCACAGGGTCAATCGGATCGTGACTCTTCTCACAGCCAGGACCCCCACTGGAAGACACGGACAAATCTGGACAGGAGATCCAGACCTCCGCCAGGTCCTAGTGGAAGCTCCAGAGCACGTGCAGTAATGTCCCCTAGGAGGATGGAAAAGCATCTCCAGCATAACCAGGAAAGAAGGGTGAAACACAACATGTCACCAGCAACAACTCTATGGGCAGACAGTGGTGAGCTGCCGACGGCAAATATTTTGCTTGCCCCTGCAGGTCCAATGCCTTCACTAATGTCACCTGTCTCGGTGTCTCTGCCACTGAAGGCAAAGGATAGCAAAGAGACGGAACAGGTTCTGTCTCCTGTAGAAAACTTGATAACATCCTTGACAGAACACATATCAAAGGAGAACACGCCAGAACCTGAAATTGTGACAAAAAGTAAACCTGTTGTGTTGGCTGATGCACTGAGTAAAAATCAGGAGGAAAGGAAAAGACAGGAAGTGGTTAAAGAACGGGACAGACATGAGCGAAACTCCTCTATAGACCGTGAGCTAGAGATAGTACGTAGACAGGAAGAGGAGGAAAAGAGGGAGTTAAAAAACAGAAAACACAATGATAACCATGGAGAACACTATAGTGTGAAGGACCAGTATCAAGACAGTCGGGGTCATGACCCTAGGGATTCTAGAGATCAACGTGAATCAAGAGATCATCATGATTCTAGAGATCGTAGGGATGATACTTATGATGCCTACTATGATAAAAAGGCCAGGTATGGCTATAAAGGAGCAGCACCTCTTAGAGATCCCAACAGGGATCAATACCATGGAGATGAACGATATGACAGGCCTAGGTCAAGGAACTCGCACTGTAAGTATTTTCATGCTTTAATAATTTATCTGATTTATGTTACAAGATAAGATAATGCCAGGCAGCATCTTTCCTTCTATTAAAGCTAGTAAATGTAAATTTTATTGTTGGCTGTACAAAATTCAAGTGAAATAATCATGATCGTTAAAAGTCGCAACAAAGTAAAAGTCTATTCTCCGCATTTCACTATGAGGTCAACTGATTTCACCAAATATCGGCGGCCTGTTATATTCAGCAGTTAGATGTATATTGTTTATTGAATTTTTCAAATAAGAGAAAATATAATGCTTCATTACTATAATATCTGAATTTGCCAAATTGCACAATATATTATTCAGTGTATTTTTATGCTAACACTGGTAATAATATAAGATGTAATATAAATTGTAATACAACAGGTAACTTGTTTTGATATCTACAATAGATGATGGGCGACCTTCATCTAGGCAAAGTCGTACTGAGACAGATTCTGAACGCCCACGTTCCCGCCAGGAATACAGTCGAGACCCAGCCTACAAGGACGGACGATATAGTTCTGCATCAAAAGGAGGTATATATGTGGTAGTTTTATATAATTATTAAGGGTCTAGAATGTTTGTCAATGTAAGCTCAAGAGGATTAATACAGTGAGTGTTTTTATGTAAACATATAAACTTTTACCTTTACCTTGTTATTGGGCATGGGACCTCATTTGTAGTACTTCAGAGGTAGAAATACTGCATGCGCCTTCTAATTTCGTGCAAAGAAACCTTTGATCTGTTCAGGAAAAACTGGTCAAACTTGCAATTACATTTACAAATTCAGCTCCTTTGCTTGTGATTTTTTATGCCTACTCTTTGTGTACCCGAGTGAGGGACAAATGACCCAACCTACGGCATCGGCTCATGGTTGACCACTGTAAAGGTCTCAGTATCATATAGTAAATGGTACAAAAATATCCAACAAAGATCCATTAGGTGTAGTGCAAGATTGCTTGCTTTAATCAGTTGGTTTAAAGTAATTTGTCCTTGACCCTCTGAAAGTCACAAAGGTCCAATGAATTTGCCTACAACATTCAACATATACTCATTTGCAATATATATACATATATATATAATTTGTTTACCAGTAATTGACATGTGCCGCAAAAATATAAATTTAAGATGCTGTCATATTTTCCATTTCTAATCAAGAATAAAGGGAATGCATTAAAACACTCAGATCATATATGACATGCTTTTGATTATATGTGTATACCAATATTGACCTAATCATGGTTTACTCTGACAGGATACGACTACGATTACTACAACCAGCAAGGTTATCATGACAGTCGGTATTACAATCAGGGCTACTATCATGACAGCCGGTATAATTCAGCTTACTATGACGAGTACTACCGTCAGGTCCAAGGACAGGATCAAGGACAGTACAATGAACAGTAAGATATCTAATGTTTCTCATTATGCTTTGCTACTCAAATGAGATTGAGGGGAACATCTCAGAAAATGCATGGGGCAATTCACAGCAAAGGAGCATGCTTTCTGCCACAATTATTTACTTGTTTATTCTCTTTAAGAAAATACACTAATGTAGTGTAATATGTATTGATGATGTGTTCTCTGGCTGTATGTACTATGGCCCAATATACTGGGGGAAAATTGTACCATTGCATGCCCAGAAAAAGAATCCTAGGTAAAACACTGCTAAAGCATCAGTTACATGTAAGTATTTCGTTAAGATCTGGGCCTGTATTTGGTACAAATTTTTCAATAGTTTGAATTTGATATAATTCAATAGAATATATGAAGTGAAGGTGCAGGCAGCTTGATTCACAGGAAATATTTTCAGCTTATATAACTCAGGTGATATACCTTTGATATGATAAATGTGGATGGATTAATCAGCAAGAGTTCTCCCACATACATTATGATCATGACTTTGTGTATATTTTCCACAAATATGTAATGTGTATACCTGCATGTTGCTAATCAGTTAATCCTATTCTTTACTCAGGTATTATTAATGAGATCACAATAGTGTCACTTTAACAGTAACTTCCTAGTAATATTTAAGTTATAACTGATTTGTCATGAAACACAAATGTTTGTATTTCAACTGGCAATACGTTGTACATATATGCGTGCATGCAACTTTTCATTACAAAATTTTAAAAAACCCAGAATTCAGTCTTTTATATGCAAACTTAGTCCAAGACATCATTTGTCAGTAATTTCCTTGACAAACAGCTTTGCCTCAATGCAGAACATAAGATGCTAGCTGTTGCAAGGACGTTAAATCCCAGACAAACTCATTATTCTAAAAAATAACTTTCGTTCTTTTAATGAGGTATTTATGATAAAATTCATATCTCAACAAAACAATTAATGGTCAAACATGAAACAATTGCATACTACATTAAGTTAACCTTGATTTTCCAAAGTGATCAGTAAAGTTATATTAACATGTACACATGAGGCATCCCAATTAACATGCTTCCCCTAACAATATACAAATTATAGGAACCCTCCCTATTAAAAAACATTACTTTGTCACATGTTCAATGTATGTATTTCAATGATGACTTTCAGCTACGATAAAATGATGGACCGGCACTACCATCCATACTACGGGTAAGGGAGATAACTCTTGTTTACTGTGTGTGTTGATATTTTTTCCATCATGTTTGCTGACTTTGGAATTTTTACCCTGCAGCCTTTAGTTTCCCTTGTTGCTGTTGTGCATTTTTCCTGTCTGTGTATAGCTGATCTATCACCAATGTCACCACAGTCATTTAGTTATGGATGAATCTTTACAATACTTGGTGGTAGCTCTATTGGTGTTTCCCAGGGTAGATTTAATTGCAAAACACTAGTTATTTCCTCAACATGATAATCGTATCTGCTCTTATTAATTATGTTTATTTACACTCTACTCCAAACCAAATACATTTAGTCAACTTTCTTTTCAATCTCTTTGATGTATAATTTGGATAAGAGTGTGATTAAGACATCAAAAAGAAAAATCTTTGGGAAGCACCAATTTAGTTTTTACGATGTTGTAGAATTTGAATTAAGACTTTCTGATTGTGTGCACTGCATATCTAATGAGCTCAATAACTTTCCTTCTATAAACTAATCTCAATATAATACATTTGATCTGTATATTGCTTTGTTTGGAATGAATTATTATTTCATTATTAATTCATTAAATACACTTTACTTTTGTGCTAAATTTAGATGTAATATTTAACATTTTAGATTTCTTTTTATTTCAAGACTTTGAAAAGACTGAACGCTGTTCATGAAAATCTTCATGTTTCCATTATCCGAGATATTTGTTGTGTGGTGGCCTGTTCCTGTTGAGACGTTTGCATTCCTTATCTGTTCTTACTTTCTCATCAACACCCTATTGCTTTGTGTTAAATCCAAATGTCTGTTCACTTCCTTACCTGTTTTTATTTCTACACATATTAAACAAATTCCAATAAGTGTCATTGTTCTACTCTGATAGTGATAATTTGGTTTCAGAAATCTGTTTAAAACTGTTCATCATATACATACAGTATTAATGTTCTACTGCAATAGAGATAATATGTAATAATGTATAAAAAATCTGTCTTAGCCTGTCTATACATGAAGGGGTTGTCCTTTGTATACACATGAATGCAACACTTAAACAATATCTGAACTTCACTATCAATCTCGTCTTCCATAAGATATTTACTGTTTAGTGGGTTAGCATTTGTGTGGACTCCATTTCATTATATTTAATCCTTTTACTTCCACATTATCCAATCTTTGTTAGGTTGTTAAACTTCCTTTTTATTTATTCACTCTTTTCAAAAGATAATTATATATTTGATTCAAAATTTGTACATTGCTGTCATTTTTTTTTTTTTTTTTTGAATATTTTGTACATTTATTAATTCATGTAAAATCTCAAATTCTACTCACAATTGTTATAATTCCTACACTAAGTAAGCAAGTTGTGCCAATTCTAGTACATGTATCACCCTGCTATTCTTACACTGTTTCCCAAAGCTTCACCTATTGATGACCACAACTTTCCCTTTGTACTGAAAAGTGTAAATGCCAAAGGTCCCAGGACATTCCTTTGTGTGCTGTTCTATATCTAGGTGCCTGATGTGTTTTCTACATTATAGGGCTTATGTATTTCCTTGTTTCAACTTTGTTTATACAGATAAACCACATTCCTTTCATTTTTATGTTGTGATGTTTTGATATTTTTCAAACCAAATGATCACACTATTTCTGTTTTTGTTCAATCTCATAAGAAAAAGTATTTAGCCAGCTTATAAATTATCTTTTTATAATGTACAAGCTTCAGGCTTTTTATGATAAATACTCAATTCCTCTGGATCGCTCTATATACATGTACCTTATGCTTTTTGAATTCCATCCTATAAATAATTATGACCAAGAATATACATATTTGTGCAAGATTAGATATTAATGTATATACTTACCTTCAGGTCTGTGTGAAATATATCAGTCAAAGTATTTCAAGATTATTGGATGGAAATTTGTTTGCAGTGATATTGTGTTGGTATATTGATAAAGCTATAGGGTGTAAGTTTGAGTTACTGACAGCAAGGAGGCTGTGGATTAGGAGTTGTTCACAGTTGCTACATGTATTTGCTGTGAGTCGCAGTCACTACATGTAGGTATATAGGAAGTGAGGTACTTGCAGTAACGAAAGACTTTGAGTTACTCACAGTAGCTTTATGTAAAGATGCGAGTTACAAAAGCTATTTGATGTGAAATACTCATATTGGCTATATGCTGTGAGTTACTTGCATAACTAAAGGTTTTAAGTTACTCTCAGTCAATTTTTTATTAAGTGAATTGCTTACCAGGGGCCTGTTCTTTTATCCGGAACAACCAGTTCGTCCGTTTTTAAAATGTAACAATTTTGGGTATAAATCCTTGCAGACCGGCAAATGTTTATGCAGGCCTGAAAGCAGCATCTGATTACTAGGTCCGACCTTATTTATTTAATAAACGAACAACTGTGGTCCGACCAGTTTCACCGCTGAAACGAAAAACGGCCTTAGTCTATACATGTATATGAATTGTACATTATACAGGTCACTCTAACTAGCTACGTTTTTTGAGTTATCCATATGACTATAGGTTTTGAGTTACTCTCATCATTAGATTTAGTAAGTGAGTTGTTTACTTACAAGCTATATCATGTAAAATGCAGGTCACTTTAACTGGCTATGTGTTTTGAGTTACTCCCAGTCCTAGTAACTATATGCTGAATTGCAGTTACTGCTATAGACTGTGAGTTACAAAAGGGCAGATATACTATAGGGTGTGAGTTCTAGTAGCTATAGGCTGTATATAATTCTTATTTATTACTGTGTCCTTTATTGATATAATGAAAATTAGTCTTCACTGTGACTTAGCACCAATGTTTATAGGCAACAATAATTTAACAAACGTAACATCTTTTGCACTTCCTTTTCTAATGGGAATAACTTTGCATCGTAAATGGCATAGGCTCTCAGGAAAATGTGTTGCATTATAATAGAGCCAAAAATCAAATATAGTCACCCACACAGTCAAGGACAGATGGAAACGTTAATGAATAGAAGTGTGAGAATGCAGTAGCTAGTGAAGGCGGTGTTCTGCATCATCACACCTAACCGCCATTCAGCATGCGTTTATGATGATGCATCATGGCCTGTTCCAGCTATCCATCCGAGTACTATAGCCAGGGTTATGAGGACGACCAGTACAGTCAGCGCAGTCAGTCACGGGGAGCTCACACCCCAGCCTCCTTACTGGAGGACCAGCCGTAAGTGTTAAACCTACCGCCCAAACAGTTGTCTCTAACTATGATCATTTATTGCAGTGATTTCAGAAACATCTGCAGATTTCAGTATGCTGCCATCGTTGTTATATTCCAGGCCATTATACCTTTGCAATGCCTTAACATGGATGTATGAACCTGATCTATACTGTATATGAAAGTTTATAGGTTTAAGGTTCAGTACATAGATAAGCACTTTCATGCCAGCAGCAATTATGATTCTGTAACAAGTCACTGAGCTGGTACTTGATTTTGAAGTCACTAGTTTGACATTTACTGATGTCATTGCTCAATATTTGACATTAAGGGTTTGACGATATTTTATATATTGTCAACATTTAACAGAAAAAAACATTTGTTTAGAGTATATTCATCGCATTTCAGATATGTGACATCTAAATGAAATTGAGTATGTGAAATCTTCAATAAAAATTCTAACTAAAAATCAATCAAATACCAGTTATGCACACAGTTTCAGTCAATATAATAGGTAACAAGTTTATTTTTCTTCTATATTTCATGTATCATTTACAGTGAATTTCTACGAAATCAGGTATGCCATACTTACTATTGAAACAAAACAGTTGCATATAAATGAGAATTTTCTGAATTTTTCTATCATAATTATTCCATAAATTTCAGTTATTCAAATTTTTACTTGAACTGACAAAAATAATTTCCTTTAAATAATTTGGCACATCTTTTAACCGCTCAACATAAAGAACTAAAAGTAAATCATGACAGCAAGTTTAGATACTGGAATTCTCATTTAGGATGCTTACCCAGGTAGTTTGTTTCAATAGCATCACCATTGATTTCAGCACTATACACTGAAAACATGTAGAATTACATAAAATACAGAAGAAAAACAAACATGATGGTGACCTTTAATTTGACACAGAACTGCATTTATCCTATTGCTGCTTTGAGAGCTAGGTTTTCTGCAGTTAGTCAGTTATACCACATAGGGTATTTGGTTTTTGGATTCACAAATGCCCATATGTACAATTATACAATATTAATATTGCACTTGGTTAATATGGCAACATGCTTTATGAACATGTTAATTGAAGTCATACTATTCATTAAGGTTACTTGTATTGATATATCATTTTTAATCACGTATTTATGTAGTATATTCTTGTTTATATCCTTACTAATATACCCAAAAATGAACATGGTATTGATAGATGAGTCCCTGTATAACACATAGGTGTACTAAGTTATATCTGCATACTACCATAACAATGGTATTGGCGTTAATGCTGGATGTGCATGAGGTGTACTGCATGGGGAACATGGAACTGTATCGTGTATCATAAATCATTTGATTCCAGGTGTTTTTTTCCAGCATATTTTTTTCTATTAATCAAGAAGTGATAAGACTCCTATTTTGGTTTAAAAGTAAACATGTTCGGGAATATATGTAGACATTTCATGGATTAGAGATAATTAGGGGACAGTAAATTTGGATATCCTCACTGTTACTATATATTATGCTCTGCTCTGCCACTACTCATGTATACATGTATGTAGACCTACCAAAGTCAGCTGTAAGTTATGATACCATGTATTGTTCCTCTAGAGTGAGGTTCATTACTTATTGCAATGTCACAATAATTAAAGCAATGGAGTGTCAGCTTGCAAATACTGGTTATAGGCTATATTCCATAAAATGAAAATTTACCTCAAATTTGAAGAAAAAAAATGCATTTTGAATATCAATTTAATTTCTAAATCAATGAAAAATATACAGGTATATATACAGGAAGGAAGAGACTAAATATGACCTAGGAGTTGACTTAGATTATGATGTTACAGGGAGTAAATCAGTGTTGCTATAGATAATGTATATATATATATATTGATAGAATTGTGTACAACAGAATCCGTCTAGTAATGTATTATATACTGGTTTGCTAAACAACATTTTAATAAGAAAGCAGATATATTATTCTGTATGAAAATATTCAGGTATATGAGTAAGAGTGGAGTTAAAGTAAGGTATCATTATTGAAAACCATCATTTTTGTATCTATCTAGAGATGCCTATGGATATGGGGCTAGGACCTCGAGTCGTGCTGGATATGATGACTACCACAGGAGCCATTACGACCCCTACTATGGGTACAGACAGGGAGGGTACCATTATCAGGACCAAGGGGTCACAGAAGGTAAGGCAATTTACAATGTCCCTATGAATTCTAGCCTAATATAGGGGCCACCATGACCCCTACTGTCTATATGGCAGTAAATCTAGATAATACGACAGTATAATTACCATAGTATGAGAACCTAGAGTGCACAGGAAGTATGGTGATCTATCTCTCTATACAGGGTCATTATGGGCCCTAGTAGAGGGCACAATGACCTCTATGTGTGGATGTATGTGTAAGTGGAAATTCAGACGTATCTAGTACAGATACGAGAATTGAGGATCCTTGAGGTCACTTCCAGATCTAATACAGGCCACTTTGACCCGCTGCTTTATGTTTGTACATTAAGTTAAATCTGGAGGTTTAAACACATTCCCTGTAAGTACATGGTAAGAAGAAGCAAAGGAAAGATGTCTCCTAATATAGGTTTAATTTACACTCTATCCATCTATCGGTCCATCAGTTGTTTTATATAGCTTGACACCTTGTATACAGTATCCTCAGGTATTGCTGCATCTGAACATGCAACAAAAAAAGAAATATGATTATGAGTTCAATGTTACCAGGTAGACAATTTATTTCATTGCCTACCACTATTTTGAAGCTGTAAAATGAGATATGTTTTTACCAAATGCTTATGAGTAGCTATAGATTGAGATATGTTATATCGTTTTTGTTGAACAGAGACAAAACCTGGCAGAATAACTCCCAAGAAACACACAATTCCACATATGAAGGTTTGCTTTGGCCCTGGAGGTCAACTGGTCAAGGTGCTGCCAAATAACCCAGTGTACGGTCAACCTGCAACAGTTGAGATTCACGAAGTAGATGAATTGTTACAAGAAAACATGGAAACTGAAGAGCTCAAATCTTTCCCAGGTCCTGTGATCAGGTCAGTACTCCTTCTCAGGTCCTGTGATCCTATGAGTAATCTAGATCTTTGTTCCATTTCCTGTGGTCCTATTACAGATCTAGGTGTTGTGATCTGATCAATACTCTCTGCTGTAGGTCCTGTAATCCTATGAGTAGTCTCTGCCCTAGCCCCTGTTATTTGATTAATAGTCTCTACCCTAGGTCCTATGATCAGGTCAGTTTTATCCATTCTAGGTCTTGTAAATATCAAACGATGCATAATATTTGAATTATCTCTTTATCTTTATCACAGAGGTGATACCCACAAGAATGATGTTCTAGCCTTCTGCCAACGTAAGGCCAGGGCCTGTGCAGAGAACATCAACATGATCGATCGTGAATCAGCTGAACTCATCTGGAAACTTCTGGAACTACTCATCAAACAAAATGGGGTAAGAGCAGATTATCAGTTATTGCCTATGATGTTATCTTTAAATTGAATTTGGTAAATGTCATGATTTCAGTTTGGCAATTTTATCCTATACAGGGATTTTGGTGGCTGTAATATTATCAAGGATCTTCATCTAGAAGTAAAAAAATAAATATCAGTGTTGAAAAAAAATGGATTTGTTTGTTGTACAGACTGTGATGGGAACAGACATTGCTGAACTGTTGTTGGAGGGCCACGAACCTACCACAGCCGAGTACAGCATGATTGGACTCAAGATTTCACAGAGCATGGACAATCTGGACCAGGAATTGGATGACACAACTGAAGTCAATGCCTCTACCTTCTCTGTGACTGACCGCTCCATCATCAACAGAGGTCGGTCCCAAGAGGAAGCTACTGACCGCTTCAGGCATCTGTTGCTTTATGGACGCAAAAAGGTAAGTGCATATGGCTGTCTGTTATCTGGTACTGAAGAATTTGATGGATATCCTGATACAGTAGTTCTCATACATATTGATTCAGTTTGTAACAGTTTTTCAAAACTTGAGTCATCATTCATAAAAACTTAATATTTTCTTTAAAAAGAAATTCACAAAATAAACCAGAACAATTTAAGTGGTACAAATTTGATGGTGCACAATACCTAAGTTGTCCTCCAATGTATCCCATTGATTATGATTCTTTATAATGTTTTGGCTACAACAAAAATTCCCGTGGATAGTTCTAGATTGTCTTCTTCTAGAGATCAAGATATTAATGAAGTAATAATGTAAGATATTTACCAGAAAAACTATCAGTTGACGCATTGCAAGATATAGGACTGAGGTTTCAGATTTGAATATTACCATCGATAGTATTAAAATAGTAAAAATTCTTGAAGAAAAAGGAATTTTGTATTTAGCATCCATTTTACTCAATAAAAGATATTCTCAGTGCTGTCACTAACTTTTGAAATAGATGGTTGACTGAAAAAGAATGGCTGGTTGGATGGTCACATGCCATAATGTTTATTTATATGTATCTATTTAATGAGAACACTTGGTCAGTAGCAAAAGTGTGTATACTTGTTTTATCTGGTATTAGACTGTCCCTTATACCTGTTGTCAGCATGTACATGTATTGGAATGTCTCTTACACAAGTTATCACGATATATCAGATTGTGACTTTTGACCTGTTTTCAGGATGCTTTAGAATGTGCCATGAAGAGAAACCTGTGGGGACATGCACTGTTCCTAGCCAGTAAGATGGATAGCCGGACACATGCTAATGTCATGATTAGGTTTGCCAACACAGCAATGAAGATGAACGACCCTCTACAGACTCTTTACCAGCTGATGTCTGGGAGACAGCCAGCATCTGTAACTGTAAGCTTACCATGAAGAGCAAAAGCTAACCTGATACTAATAATTAAATTAAGTTATAGAGAGTCCTACATGTATATCTTTTGACGATCAAATTTATTCTGCGGTTGAAAACCAAATTGCCTAGAATTTTAGCATGGTTAGACTGAATAAATGTATTTGAGATATGTAGCTAGCAAGTTCTTCAAGGTAATTCCCTCTTGAAAATTGAAAATTTCAACATTACATATGTCAGTATGTGTTGGTCATTGCTTTAGCTTCCTTAAAATGCTTTGAAATCAAATATCGGCCTGTGTCAAGGTGTTCAGTTGGCCCACAGTTTTATTGTGATATTTTTGTGTCAGTAGTACTGGCTTCTTTGGCATTTAACCAAAACATGTGAAAAGTCTCTTATTTTGTAATTAAGAGGCTCAGCTTACGTTTTGTGTTTTGAACATCTACTACTTTTCAGCATAAAACTTAACTATGACCATTATTTTGGACAGAGTATAGCTAACGAACGTTGGGGAGACTGGAGGCCTCATTTGGCTATGATTCTGTCTAACCAGGGAAGCAAACCAGACCTAGATAAGAAGAGTATCATGTCTATGGGCGACACACTAGGTACGACACAAGTCCTGCTGCTCCAGGATGTGTGCAATGTTTTGTTTTATTTAAGTTATAACTGCTTGTAATACAGTGTACTGTACAGGCGATTTAAGGGCCTTACATGGTATCTAGTCCTGTATAGATTATTTATTTAGATCTGTTGAAATAAAAAATTGAAAAAAACCCAAAGTTTTTCTATCCTGATACCTCATCCATTTATCTATATTAATTTTTATCTAAATAAATATTGACTTTTCATTAGCTACACAAACACTGAAAAATTAGATTGTATTCTCGATTAACAATTGTGTTGCCAATCATTATCAATTTACTATGAATATTTATAATTACATAATAGATTAACTAACTTATTGATTTCTGTAGCTAGGACTTGTGTGGAATATCATTGAATGGATAGATAATAAATCCAATTTATCTAATTTCAGCGTCGAAGGGCTTTTTATACGCTAGCCACTTTTGTTACATAATGGGTCAAGCTTCGTTTGGCTCTTATTTCAAAAAGACTGCTAAACTGGTGCTAATTGGAATCAATCAAAGGTATGTGACCTCAACCCTAGGTTGCTTTGTCTATATGTGGCTGTCATGGATTGTATAAAAAAATCTTATCAAAAGACAATTCAACATTGGTACTTGCCTTTGCCAAAACCCTCCCAAAACCCTCCCAAAACCCTCCCCTCCCAAAACCCTCCCAAAACGTCTGTAAGACAACCAGATCAGTTCTATATCTCTGTTTCAACTGTACAGATACCTTAAATAGAAGTACCCCAGTTTAACTGACTCAACTGTATAGATACCTTAAATGGAAGTACCCCAGTTTAACTGACTCAATTGTACAGATACCTTAAATGGAAGTACCCCAGTTTAACTGACTCAACTGTTCAGATACCTTAAATGGAAGTACGCCAGTTTAACTGATTCAACTGTTCAGATACCTTAAATGGAAGTACCCCAGTTTAACTGACTCAACTGTACAGATACCTTAAATGGAAGTACCCCAGTCTTACTGAAATTGTATGTTCACTGATTGGTATTGTATTTCATATAGTAAGTTGTTAAAAGATGTATTGAAAGGTTTTATGATTGTCATGATACTGTTACTAGTAGAAAGGTTTTCACAAAGATGTCACACATATACACTTACTGGTTGTGATACATACCTTTTCTACTAGTCATGCTTACCCACCTGAAGGAAAAGTGTAGAGTATGATACTGTTACATTTTGAAATTATGTTTGTGCGTAATCCAAATGTTTATTATATGACTGTCTACTATTTAATATGAAGGTTTATTGAACCTTGGAGCAGTTTACTTCAGAGTAGGATATTTGTTGTTATTATAATCGCTTGTTTCTGTATGACAGTCTACCTTTGGAGGAGTTCACTACAAATGAAGCTATCCAGTGCACAGAGATCTATGAGTATGCCATGTCATTGGGAAATCCTTCATTTTTTCTGTCAAATTTCCAGGTAAAGTTTTTTTTCTACTAAGATACTAATGGAATTCAATATTTTATTGAAATATATGTAATTAATATGAAACTCTAGGTAAAGTTTTTCCTTTTTTTTTTGGAAGATGCTTAATGGAATCTTGAAACAATTGTAATATTTTGTTAATGCATGCATAATGAAATTTTATCAATTTGTTTTTCCTTGCAATTGTTTAAGCACTGATCAAATTCAAATTACCACTTTTGAGTTTTGTTTTCCGTTTTGAAATTCAGGTAAAAACAAAGATAATTATTTAAGAGTGCTAAAGGTGTTTTATTGAATGTTTACCGGAAATGAATAAGAATTTAGTTATCATAAATATAATTTAATATTAAATAAAATTCATGTTTCCTTTTTACATTACAGGTCTTCAAGTTTTTATATGCCTGTAGATTAGCTGAAAATGGATTTCCTCAAGAGGTAAACATCAAACTATTTTGTGTATTCAGTACACTAAAATTACCTGGTATACGGCACCTTGCCAGAGACTGGGAATGACAGCAACTAAGAAGCATATGCTTACCGGTATTCAAAAATGAAATATTCTATAACAGTTGTGGGAATTAAATTCAAATTTAAAGGAATTAATGCCTGTATATCGATTTATAAGAGCTACCTCATCAAGTTTAGATGTAGTTGGAAACTGGAACATGTCTATATTATTGTTAAGCCTTACATATCAATGGGATCTGTACAAGATTGTATGGGGCATAGAAACCAGTTGCAATTGAGGCCAATTTTCCATCATATAATTGAATATTGATTGAAACAATTTCTTTAGAGTAAAATAGGAAAGACAATATACTAAATGTTGCAAAAAAACCCATAACATCCCTGTATGTTCAAGTGTTAAGATGTCTAGGTATTGAGTAAACCTTGCATTACTTTGAAGCGAAATGTAAATCTGAAATTTTCATTTTGTTTCAGGCTCTTCAATATTTTGAAGTGATTTCAAGATATATTCAGCGTGCTCCAACATTCTTCCAGCCAACTCTAGTCAAATTAGTTTATAACGTAAGTATTATTACTTTGAGCAGTAAAGGAAATGATTGTCAGATTTTCAGTACCATGAGGTAGGATTCTTTCTTAAACTTCTCTTTACCTATGAAAAAACATGAAGTATCATGACAATTCATACCGAATCAAGGCCACAACAGAAAATTACCAAGCTTTGATCCAGAAATATATTTTCAGGCTTAAAGTATGTGTTTTCATATTTCAAATCCTCTCGCTACCTCCCGTGTAACTGAAATAAACTAGATAAACTAGAAACCATAAATGTTAAGTACTTTGATACCAGGACAATGTACCAGATATTGCAAGTGTTTGTGTATATTGACAGTTGGCGGACCGGTTGAAGCACTTTGACCCCCAGAGAATGCATACAGCTGACGATCAGGACCAGGCATGGCTGTTACAGCTACAGAAGATTTCCCAGGGTTTTCAGGTCAGTACAGATATTTTCATTTCATCATTTTTCTTTGCTTGAAAATGATTTCATATATGACATATAAGAAAGATTGTTTTTATGACTTAGCAATGTTTTGATTGGTATTATATTGATTCCACACAACTGTTTCCCATTTTGTTCAAGGTCTTCGAAAATGTAGGAAAAATAATATGGCAATATTGATAAAATAGGTAATTCTGGGTAGTTTAAGTTTGGTCTCTTAGTATAAACATGATGTTGATGCTTAAGTCTGGTGTTTTGTAGGATGGATCAATCCGACCCCTGTCAGGTAGTGTTACCCCTATGGGATATGGAAGTACGAGGGCTAGTAGTGAAAGTGCAGAGGTTGCAGGTCTGACTCGCCCAGGATCTGACCTGATGGGTCAAGGTCAGATGGACTACAATTACCAGACAGGGTATACACAACAGCAGGGGTACGGCGACAGGCCAGACCAGTCACAGAGCGAGGTGGATGGTCAGACTGAAGGACAGACATTTGTCGGACAACAACAGTACAACTATAACTATCCTCAAACTGGACAGCAGACACAGGAGCAGTCCCAAGGGGAACAGCAAGCCCAACAACAGTACACAGAGCAACAGTATACAGACCAACAACAACAACAGTACAACCAGGAACAGCACACTAACTACAATAATTACTATCAACATGGTATAGTCTTCTTCTCTCTTACAAGTATAATCTACAAACTTACAGTACAAAATTGTTGTACTCTGGCTTTAAAGACAATGGCTATGTCAATACAACCACTTTAATGTATGAACATCAAGTTTTCCCTGTTGTATGTTTGAATAGATTTTATAGAAACAATAAAACAAATGCTTTGTAAAATGTTTTTGTAAGCCCTGTATGACTGTTTTTTTAACTGGCTTTTATCTTTCAGGTTATGTACCAAATAATACAGAAGCTCAGCAAGGTGATTCAGGAAATCAAACAATGTCAGCTGAGGTCACCAGTCAGTACCAAGGGTATATGGCTGCTACCTCTGATACTGGCGTGCCACAATTAGATGGTACGTATGTAGGTAAGTTTACCAGTAAGATGACACCATACTGTTGTACAGGCAAGCTTGGTTAGCCACATATCTTTTTGCCCAGTAATAAAGTTGCTGGATCTTTGGAGATCTGTATGCTTGATGACAGGTTTGAAATAAGAGGAGGAATCTGTCTCTAAAATTCTGACTAGATTGTTGAGCATCCATATTTATTGAGTATTCAGATTGTTGGCAGAATTCATAAGACTGTACGTATTTGGTTACTAAGTTATGTTTCAGACTGTTGTTCCTATATTAATTCTTTGCAGTGACTGTTGCACAATTTTACTATAAACTCCCATTGTATAACATGAAACTTCTGCCGTGTATTTTGCATTTTCATAGTTTACAGTGCAACCACAAATATAAACTTAAGTGATAGATGAACAGTTTACTGAATTCAGTATATATGTGTCCGTAGATTTGAAACTTTAAACATCAACTAAATAGTTTGTAAACACAAAACTGCAAAGGAAAGTACCTGAGAATTGAGGTTTGTAAAGGTTTCTGATGACATACGGTTCAGTTTAGATGAATAATGATGGATCAGTAAGATTGAAAAAAATATTTATCATGTTACTGTAAAATCTCAGTATAGTTCCCTCCTTTTTGGGTCTTTTAACCAGCTGACCATTTTGTTGCTTTATTTTTGGATTTACGTTTTGCTATTTCTGCTTGTGCAGCTGGAAGTGTACAGGATCAGGCTTCTGTGACCCAAACACACACTCACAACACAGCATCCCAACCCTACAACCCAAACATCTACTCCCAGACAGGCGAGTCTTCACAGCAACAAAGCATCACATCCGACAGCAGTCTGGACACGGAGGACGACGCGAACCAGGAACAACAGACTGATTTTGATTACTTTGGGGCAGCCACTACCCAAAAAGTATGTGACAAAGTTGATCACCACATGTTATGCTGCTGTACAAAATTGTCCTTTTCCAATCTCTGATTCAAAAATTCAAACACAACCTGTAATCCATTATGTTATAACAAGATATCATTATTGAATACAATTTGTAAGAGATATTCAAGAAATTGATGTACGGTAGGGAAATAGGGTGGAGCAGGGAGGCACATAGAGTTGATACTATATATGGCTGCTTAGGTCTCAGTTGTTACCATTTGTTAAGTGGGCTTCAGGAAAAGCAACAACTTTAGGTTCAGGGGGGCACAGAAAAGTGCCTCTGTAAAGTAAATATCAAACAGCTGTGTAGCCCCCATTATCTTTTTAATAGTCTTGTTGTAATACCTGCTTATGTGTTAATGAGTCTCATTTGATATCAGTATGATAATCAGGCACCATTACCTACTCAGCCTTGTTATATCATCAAATCTGTTGTGATATCAGTCCGAGACTTCGTTGATATTTTCTAGGCCCGTTTCTACTGACGTACCTGCAAATGTTCATGCAGCCTGCTTTGTCAAGGCTCGCCTGAAAGCAGCATCAGATTACTAGGTCCGACCATATTTCATAAACGAACAACTCTGGTCCAACCGGTTCCATCGTTTGGCTCGAGATAAACGAATGCAGCCCTAGTCGGATCCATCTGTACATGTATATCTTTGATCACCTGTTTATTTACATTATAGATTGTAGCTCCACGGTTAAGGAAACGCACCACATCAGAGACTAGTCAAGGGAGTGGTAATCGATCAACCTATCCCGGGGAACAAGCCAAAGATGACAAAGCAAGAATGCCTCCTCCTGCTGCCAAAACAGATCCATCCAAGAAGGTATTAGATTAAGTAACTACTCTGGAAGTAGGATTTCAGTTTCGGTTAGTCTGTATTACACTTCAGATTAGACCAAATTATTTGCAATGGTAAATTTCATCAATAATTGATAAATGATTAGGTGCTTATTATTACAGCAATGTGAATTTAAATGACAGATTTTGGGCTTTAGTAATTAGTTGTAATATATCAGCTTGTTGCTACTGTCACTGTACACAAAACAGCCAAGAAATTGTCATTTAATGCAAAGAAGTACTTTTATGTATACAGTTTTCATTTGATGATACTTTTCATGACAATTAAACTGTATTAAGTTTTATTGGCTGATGATTATCATTACATGAACAATTTAAAAGTAAGAAAAAATACCAAAACAAGACTTTCCTCCTCATTTACGTACCGTGCGTTGCTATTTATTTGGATATCATTTTCAAAAGTCTATTTCATCAAAACTAATGCTAGTTTGGAGAAGAAATTCAATCAAAACCCTCATTAACTCGAAGATATTTCAACTATGCATATTTTCTGCCGATATTGATCGTTTATCCCCAAATATTCGCCAAAATACCGGAAGTGTGCCCTTTCAGGGTACAGTAATGCCGATTCAAGGGCCTACATAATTACTCTTATGGTTCAAATTGTGATAGAAATGAAAAGTGGATAGTATTTTGATATATTTATGGAAAATGAACACACATTTTTGGAATCGATAGTATGATATAAAGAACATTTATATCTATATAAAAAGTGTCCCGATTTGGGTACAGTTACGTTAGAATTTCAAAAAGAGGAAAATCCAAATGCAACTTTTTTAAAATTTGTGTTTTATTCTTGCAAATCTTCTCAATCAAATGAATATCTTGGAAAACCTTGAATCATTATGAATACCAGACTGTATGAATGTTTTCACTGCCTCTCAATGATATCAGCAGGGAAGCAGGTTAGGGGGATGGTTCAGTAAACTCCTACCCAAACCCAAGAACGAGATGAAGCTTCCTAATGATGATAAACCAAGTGTGAGTATATCAGCCTTGTTATAAACAAAATCAGGACAAATTTGTTCTATTTATATCAAAATGTTTAAATTTTCACAAAGTAGTTGAACATGCTCATCATTCAATTAACCAATGCATTGAAATGAAAATAACTTCTCGTAGAGTCAAATGATACTGTATGTTTAAGGCCTCAGACCACAATTAATTCTACCATATGTAACTACCAAAGGAAAAATGAAATTAAAAGGTTTTAAAACTTTGCACAGGGTCTGGTTCCTATTTCATGTTGTAAATCTATTTAAACTGAACCTACAGTGAGCTGGAAAGTACCTCATGACCGGCATTTAAGAAAGATAATTTCATTTGAATGTCACTACCCCGCATGTATAGGGGAAAATACTAAAATTCACTAAACATCAATGCGCAAGCCTCATCACTCATTGTGTCCTGCTGTGAATACAAACTTGAAAACTGAATAAAAATTAAATAACTAGCTAGAATGGATATTGTTGAGCGTTTCTGTGGGGGAAAAAAAGTATGTATCTGTCATAGATCAGAAAGGAAAAATAATCTAGTAACTGACCTGAAATGTCCTTATGCACTACATTCGTGTACAACGACCCGGAAGTGTTATTGTGGTCTGAGACCATATGTATATTTGCTTACTTGATAGTGATTCCTATAATGGATGTCAAGATCACTCAAGACGACAACTTTTTCTCTCTATTGAATAGACTGATTCTTGGTCACTGAACAAAATGTTTTTATTTGTGTTACCAGATTGTGTGGGACAAGGATAATGAAAAGTGGGTGAACTTAGACGGTACCGAGGAAGTGAGTAAACCAGTGGCAGAACCTCCAAAGGACTCGGACATCTTCAAAACCCCAGCAGGTACCTCCCCAGTTCTCTATACTTACAGGGTGCCAGGGAACACTTGAATGCTATCAATGCTATGTAACAGTCTCAAGAAATGTTGACCTTTAATTTCCTATCACGGAAGATACAAGTTATATAGTTGAAACAAATTATTCAGAAACACTGAATTAGCGGCCACACCAGTCCAAAGTTTGTGTGGTGATGCGCTATGAGAATGGATAACAAAGTAATGCCAGATGATTGAGTAAATGTCAAAATATGACACAAGGAAGTTCCAATCATGTATTGCTGAGAGTGTCACCAGTAATTTGTTACTTAAGCTTAAAGTGGTGGCTACTTCAGGACAAGTTCGACACCAAAAGTACTCTAAATGGGGTTGCTGAACAGCTATGAGTCAATTTCTACTGTACTATATAGTGAGAAGGTTTGTGAGACTGAAGTGTCCATATCTTGTTTTTGATATTCTGTCTGACTGAAACATCCTATTAGGAAGCTTGGAATCTGGGACTAGTACTGTCAACACAATGTTCCTCCAAAATAGTCCAGTACTGTTTTTTTGCTGCAGGCTTACACAGCTCTTAATGTTTGTCATTGTCTTGTAGTGCCAGCAACTCCTGAGTCAAGTTCAGCGTTAGGGGCACCCCCTTCGGGCAACAAGTTTTCACGTCCTAAAGGTAGAGGTATGTGTCATATATATCAGTGTATAATAGAGAGATAAACATCAAGTTGTTAATGTTAATTATATTTACATTTCCTACTGAACTTGGACTTATTATCATTTGTGTTTATTACAGTGTTAAACACACGTAAGTGATGATGTTGCATCCTTTCAAAGGTCCAATGTTTTAGAAATTCTCAAAAGAACTCAGAAATTGCACTGAATGTAAAACTGTAAGGATTGATTCCAGTTCTGTTGAGGTTTATTGGGTATAAACGTCAATGGCTCTTGAGACAAACTTGATATATAGCAGTTTATTAAATTATCTCAAAATCCATTGAGGTTTATACCACATAAACCTCAAAAGAACAGGATTAAATCCTGAATTAGCCAGAAACCTTGACAAAAGTTATTTGCCATGGGAGATCTGGAACTTGACTATATTGTGTGAATTAAGCATTTTCTAATGTCCTGCCAGTATTTCATTTAAAAGATAAAGCACATCAGATTTTGACTAAGTTTCGTTTGGAGCATACCTGGGTCAAGAGAACATAACTTTGTGTATAGAAATGGTGTGGCCTCCTATTTGCAGAAGGTCGTCGCAAAAGGGGAATAGGGGTCAATTATTTCCAAAACTTTCTTCTGTATGGATGGATGGATTTTTACTTAATTTGGCATAGAAGATCTCTGTTTCAAGGGGATTTAGTTTTGTATGCACAAAGGTTGTACTGAACCCACAACTCCCCTCTCGCAGCAGGGGGCAAGAGTGTCTGGGATGAACAGGGGAACACACTATGCCCAGTATGTGGACTTATATAATCATATACACTAATGTATGACTTGATTGACAGGAGCTCGTAACCAGTATGTGGACTTACATAATCATATACACTTATGTATGACTTGATTGACAGGAGCACGTAACCAGTATGTGGATGTGATGAATACTAGTGGGAGTAGTACTAGCAGCACAACAGTGCCAAAAAGTCTGTTCAACGTGATGCCGACTTCAGCCTCGTCACCAGCAATATTTAATCCACGTATGTATTTTCAAACTTCTCAACTTAAAGTATGTTGCTGATTAAATTCATTTTGTTTGACTTGGAGTTCTTCTGTTCAAAGATATTATGTCCATGACAGCTAACTTTCTGATGATTCTGATTTATTATCTACTTTGCATCTAACATATGTTTACAGTTTGCGATAGGTTATCATTTTACAAACAGTATTATACACTGTTCGTAACAAGACTTTACAGTTTCCACTTGTATTTTTTTGTCCAGCTATGGACAGCTTGGTAAAGATATCAGTTGATACCAACTTGAAGCATTGGTATCATACTGTGGTATTAAATCGTTTTTGATTTTGAAAAAAATGATGGTTGCATTTTTGTATCTATTCCAATTAGAATGTATATTCCTGTCTTTAAATGTCATATTAAAAGCAGTTGTCAGTTATAATCAGCTTTCATTATGTCATGAGAAAGTTTACATAATATTATGTCACCGTTACTTAAGACATTGCTGGATAGATTTAAATGATAAAACAATTGGTGATCAAACTCTACATTAGTTCTATTATTGGTAAAATTTATAAAAAGCAATCATTTAATATGTTGTACAAAATTTTGACTGCCAAAACACTGTACAACTTTCATACATTTTGATGTTATTCATAAAAAGTGTCAGCAGTTCAATGCTATTCAGATTATGAAATCCCAAGATTTACTGCTTGCAGTTGGAGGAAGCGATCAGTCTGACTCAAAAACAGACCCTCAACCTCAGCAGTCAATAGCGCCACCTGCTGAACAAAACATGAACCAGTCTCTGACACCAGGGGAGGTAAGTGTTATATGAAGCTCTACATTATGATCAGTTCCATGTGTGGCTGGAGCTTGGCAATGTTTAGGATCTGTACTCAAGGTTTTCGTAGAGACAGTTAACATAGTTTTTGCTATATTTGAATGTGTACTGGAATGTGTTGTAAACAAACATATATAGCTGTACTTTGTATACCTGTGCAACTTTGCGAGGTATGGCGTATAGTGTTACTCACGTTCATTCTGTCACATCACATGGTCATTGTTAATCATAGAGACTAACAAAACATTGAAACAAATTCCACATGGCCATGGGGATATTCATATCTTGCAGACATTTTCTAGTTCTAGAAGGTATATTAGATAGCATGTGATAGTATTGATTATGACCCACTTTTATGTCAAAGCCAACTTGAGAATATGTGCCACAAAATTCTTTTTCGTTTCCAATTGTATAATACACTTTAAAAAAAAAAGGAAAATGTATGGTAAAAAGAATTTCTTTTTTTTGGTTGATCATGTTGTTTTCTCAAGACTATTTAAAAACATTCTGTGCTTTATTGTTTAAAGCAACACACTTTGGAATGTTATCATAATTAAACCAGTGTGTGGAGGTAAAATTACTAGAACTATAGAGGAGATGGACTTGGAGTAGTCGACAGTGAGAAAATGTTGACTATGCTGGTAACCTAGTTTTGAGATAGCATAAGGAGAACATTATTTGGTACTAATTGAAAGTTTGATCTCTCTAATGTAATAGTTGGATGCTTATCTTCATAGTGATTTCAGTGTGTTGAAAAATTACTTACAATTTATATACAGAGAGTAATATAACATTGACAAGTGTGTCTGTTGTGTAAAAACAAGATAGTGATTATGATATACTATTTGTTTTGGAAGTTACCTTTATTTTTGAGATGCCTTAGCAATGCTTCGTTGTCTATGGAGTTCTTTATTTGTATTTTTTCTCTCCATTTTGCCATTGCATTCGTGCAGGAAGACTTTTACAGTGAGTTGGTGTGATTAAATAGTAAGGCAGTCACCGGTTCATGTTTTCTTTAGTGTATTTGATGTTTCCTTGTTTAGACACTCAATTTGAACACAGGAAGTATTTCATAGTATGAACAAGTGTTGTATACATACTGTTACAGATATAGTGACGTATCTCAAAAACTGTATCTCCGTTCATTATTCAAAATCTTTTTGTAAAATTTAAAATGAACTCAAGCTTCTGTTGTTTTGTAATTGAAATCTTATTATTTTCAAAGCAGGAGAAATCTTGTTAATGGTAATAAAATATTTTATAATTCAAGATTACCATACATTACAGTGTACATATATTACAAGTAGTATACTTATAAATACCCATATATATGTATTTACTTTATATACCTGGTAAATAGGCAGTAATTTTAACATTTTAATTAATGCACCACTAATTAATTATTGGACACATTGTTACGTTTGATACTGTGACTTGTGTAATCAAGGAAGATGAGTTGCCACACTTTTATCCACTTTATTTTGACCTTGTTTTGGAAGTGAATTTCATAGGTACTTAAAGCACATTATTAGCTTGTAGTGAACCAAATTTTGTTTAGCATGATTACTCCTTAAAATAAAACAACAATGTCAAGCAATGATATTTCACTAGAAACAAAATTATTAGAAAAATGTAAAGACAAAAATTATTAAGGTTTATATATATCATTTAAGTTAAAACAAAATAAAGTATGATTTTTTGTGTTTTCCAGCAGATTAATGTTAACTGAACAAAAAGCTTGTACCCACTTAATGTTTGTTCTGTCCCTTGCTCCTGGTCAAAACTTTTGTCCATTTGATTATTCTCAGTTTATCTCTGGCTCTAGGTCTTCAGTCTGGTGGCTCTCTAGACATTTAACTTATTTAAATGTCTAGGGGGGGGGGGGGGCAAATATTTTTGGGGTGATTAATAAATAAAAATCTGAATTGGAAAATCTGACAGTTGATCAGTTGTTTGAAATTGCTGTAAAAGATGATTTAGTCAGAACAAGTGATAACGGAACTCCTTGAAGTGTTGACTAAACTGATGAGTACTGATTTGCCATTTACAGTTGTCTAGGACAAGCTCTATGAGCTCTGTATCATATGAGGTCCAACAACTAACTCGTCAGGTAACTGATCAGGATGTTTGCTTTAGCCTGTTAATTAACTGCATGCCAGACACCGGAGCAGACAAGCTAACAATGTTAACCGAAAATGTTCAGTCAAAGTAGTTTTATTTTACAAATACCATATAAGGAATTTAACTATAATGCATGTATGAGATGCGACTCCAACTGCTCTTCATGCTCGTAATAATAGATAATCTAGTTCATTAGACCTTTCTGTAAGATTTTAAATTTATCATATATGGAATTAATACCCCAATGATTTTAAGTATCTTTTGACACTTGCAAGATAGTAGAGGAGTTTTAGTCTTTTCTACCCGTCTCATCCGTTCATATGTCTCTCCTTCTGTGAGATAACTGGTTTGACTATAAGATCCATTACGCTAATACTGAATTCCAACAGCAGTCAAACTTCATGTTATAGATACAGCTGGACCCTTTTGACGATGAAGACACACTTAAAGTAATCATTTTTCATAATTGAAAACTCACTGTCATGTTCATTATAATATAAAATCTTCATGGTGAATACTGAAGGTTTGCTAAGGAAAAGTAACTTTGACTAAAACATTTTTGCTAACATGCATACTAATACTAGTTTTACACTAGTGTGCAACTAAAAGTTCCTCATCGCTTCAGTGTTGTTGATTGTTACTTCAGAATTTGACATTCTAAATTCTTTTATTTTAGTCTCTTAAAGTAATTTGTTTCTTTTTATAATGTGCTAAAATTCATTCTCTTCTTGTAGATGTATGAGCATAGTATCTATATATAATTGAGTTGCCATTTCACATGTGTTGTATTAAACAAATTAAGTAGTTTTCATTTTAGCTTAGCTCTGTCAATCTGAAGAAACCTTCACCATTGTCAAGTCTTCGATGTTATAATCTGGACTTTGTTTATGGCTTTCAGTATGACAACATTGTCTTTAAGTCTTTGATTTCATGTTTATTATTCTGACATCTCAATATTATGAGACATTATATAGCCATTCACTTTCACCTAATAAGCTAATCTTTTGTCCATTATTGACATATATTCCATTAAAAAATACTAGTCCAAAACAGAGTATTTGAGTTTTTAAATTTTAAATTTGAACTTAAGTTTAATAATACCATCAAGCTTAAAATATTGGGACTATCATGAAATATTTGTCCATTCCCTACAAGCATATTCTACATAGAATATATCTTGTGATGAATTTTACAAAGTTACATTTGTTTGTAATTTGAATACATTTTGTGTTTGGAATCAAATCAAGAACAAAAACCCCCAGAAATTACAGAGTCCATCACTGTCAGTCAATACCAGTGTATCTAAGTGGAATTACAAATGCAAAGTATCAAAAGGAAAAGTAAGAATATCTTGCCAAGAGAAGTAACTCGAAGCCAGAAAATCACCTCTTGGTTGATTTATCTTCTTTACACAAAGGAGTAAATAAAAAGATCTTGATGAAAATATTATCTTTACTCTGTTATGACTTTTATGCAAGTACTGGCACAGTCCATTTGATAAATTTAGTATGGGTTATCACCAAGGAAATTCATTGGTGAATAAATGAAGGGTGCCCACCAACCACCAGGATGGAGGGGTGTGGCCCAAAACAAGCAAGGGGAAGGAACTTTAATCTTATTTGGCATAGAACATCCCTGAGCCAAAGGTATTCAATTTTGTGTAAATGAAGGATGTGCCACATGCACACTGTCCACTGAGCATGTTTGGTTGGCTGAAACATTTCCCATTAGTTCCTAAGTTTGACCAGATAAATGTTCACCAAAATTGGTACAAATTTTTCTCTTTAAGATTGTTAGAAACACATTAATGGTACAGAGCCTATGGACCTCTTGTTGTATTAAAATTTCTAGCTGCTTAACTAAATTACTGAATAATTTATTAACTTCTCATTTCCATTTTTAGGTCACCTGAGCTTTGCTCAAGTGACCTATTTCGATCACTTTCCGTCCGTCATCGTCAGTCGTCAGAATCATCCTTGGTAGATGAGGCTACACAATTTTAAACTTGGGATTCCTACCCCAACCGCTGGGGCCAAGGTGGGGCCCCAAAGGGAAAATTAACCAATATTTCAAAAATCTTCTTCTGCAGACTCAGAGGTACTAGTCATTTTCTCTGCATGGATGAAAAGATCATCAGGGTCTTTATTTAAATGGTAAATTTCAGGATCCCCGGGTCATCCCTTCTCCCTGTGGGAGGGGGTAAAGTTTACTAGTTTAGATAGGGAAATAACACTTTTGTGTATATTTTTACAATTTTCTGTAGGAATTTATTCTTACTTGGTGAAAATTATCCTTGGAGGAAGATGGTTCTAAAATGTAAAATTGGGATTCCCCAACCCTAGGGGCCAGGGCGGGCCCCAAAGGGAAAATTTACCAATATTTCAAAAATCTTCTCTTCCAGACTCTGAGGTACTACAGTCAATTTCAGTGCAGATCATCAGGATTTTTTTATTAAAATTGTCAATTTCAGGACCCCTGAGCCATCCGTTCCCCCTTGGAGAGGGGGTAAAGTTTACTATAGTTTATATAGGGAAATAACACTTTTGGGTATATTTTATCCATTTTCAGCAGAAAAATTATTCAAACATGTTCAGAATCATCTTTGTTGGATGAGGGTGTTACATTGTAAAATTGGAATTCCTACCCCATCCCCAGGGGCTAGGGCAGGGCCCCAAAGGGAACATTTACCAATATTTTCAAATTCTTATCCTTTGATGACATGACAAGTATTGTATTTCACTTAGTTTACATGCTGATTTCCACATCACATCTAAACAATAAAATAAAGCTATCAGTACCTATGATATAACTCAGGTGACCGCTAAGGCCCTTGGGCCTCTTGTTTTTAATTGCCATCTTAAAAAAAGCAAATATTATTGTTTTCTACACTGTTATGATATGTATTTATTAGACTGACATTTCTTAACTGCTTCACCCACTTGGGGACAGTTACACAAGGGAATGTAACTGGATAACTCTTGTATTGTTAGTGCACTGCACCAGCTCTTCTTACACTGTACATATTTAGAAATAACATCAATTCATCATAAGAAGTGAAAAAAATGATTGTTGATATCATATGGGATTACATAAATTCCACATTCTGTAATTTAAGCATTGAACTGCTTTCAGTTGGCATTCATAGACAGTATAAATGCCAGTTGGACAAAGGCAAATTCAATGAAGCGCACTTTCATTTCATGTTGGATTTGCCTTTGTCCAGTTGGAATTCATACTGCCTATGAGTACCAACTGAAAGCAGATCAGTACTTACTTATATTCAATATTTTTGGAATCTGTTCATCTCATAGAAAATTCAATTACACTTATTATTATTCAGCATTTAGTTCAAATAATGTATGTATTGTGCATGCTTGGTCAATGAATAGAACAGCCATCACCTGGGGAGAGTCAGTGGTATCCAAAGTAACAATTATGACATCATAATAATGATGACGTCAACAATCGGTCCATGGCATTCATAGCCTTACTGAATGCCAACTGAATTTGATAGGCTTATATAGTGGCAATGCCATACGATGGTAAATATTCAGTCAACAATAGCATTGAGGTCAAGGTAAAAAAGTTGGGCATTTTCAATTTGAAAGCTGAAATTAATTACAATTAATTACATTAAATACACATATTGAACTACTTTAAATGAAAATACTGGTACAGTAAAACTTCATTGCTAAGCACATGCTTGATTTAATTCTTCTTTAATATATCTCCTACTCTTGACTGTAAAAATATAATCTATTACTCCAGGTATGCAGATAGACAAATCTCAACCATCTATTGAGGTTTAGCACTCAGAAAAGCATTGTGTTGAATCTCAAAATCTTATCGGTGGGTAGAGATTTTCTTTTCTATACACACGGGAGGGATACATTTTATTGGTCTTCATGATCAGGTAAAAAAAGTTAAATGAAAGCTAAATAAGTTTCAGTTAAACATCTAAACTAATTCTTAGGTTTGCTGTGATTTGAAAATCGAAAGTTATGAAACTTCTGGGTTTTAATGAACAAATGAAACTTCTGGGTTTTAATGAACAGGTTTTACTGGTTCATTTCCTGGTGGTGATATAACATTGATTATGGTGTTTTTTTCTTACAGGATGGGAAACAGACCCAAGCACCTAATTTGACCCCAGGGGGACCCCCCATGTTGTTTAATCCTTCTCAATTTAAAACTGGTCAGCAGAATGCAGCACCTGCCGGTGGTCCAAAGCTCTACAACCAACGAAGGGTTTATCCTAAATGATGATACAGCCCAACACTAACCTAAATGATGGTACAGCCCAACACTAAACCAGGAGAATGGATGTAGCTGGATGTTTAAATATTAATATCCAAAGTACACACTGGACAGTTTTATTGTAGATTCTTAATCTCATGCTCATACAAGTCCAAATAATTTTATTCTAATAAAAGAAGGTTAATTTGATTTTAATGGAATCTTGTGACCAGATCTTGAACTGATTATGGTAGTGGCAATAATAACTCATGTCTTTCACAAGTGTGCTTCGAGAATAATGGTTCTGTTTGAGAAATCTTCAAGTGATGGACTAATACCTGCCTCAAATGAGGTAAGACAGAGAGCCCCCCCCCGGCAAACCAATAGTCTTGTTGATGTGGTTTTGGTGTTTATTTATTGTTTTTAGAATTAGGAGAGTAGGCCTTCCTGTCTAACAGGGAAAGTATAAAAACAGGTGTGTTTCACATCTGGTTTACTGTCGTATGATGTGGGTTTGATTTTTTTGATGACCATGTCTCCATCAGACTTCATGATATTTATCTTATATTGTCTAGTTTGTTCATCTGTGTTCTGGGAGATGTAACCCTGTGATTTGTACCATAACTTAATTAAAAATTATGTATATTTACTTTCATATTCTTTCACTTGCATTTACAAACTTTGCAGCTTTTCTGGTCTTGGTTCAGGTATTAAGACCTTCTTAAACTTAAAAACATATTGATGTAAAGTTCTCTTCCCAGATTTTTCTGAATAGTTAGAAGTTTTCTGTTTGATTGACTTCTTTTACCCAGCTTACGATGTGTTTGGTTGTTTCAGATAACATAGTGGATAGAAATTTTATTTGAATACGTTGTTAAGATTTAAAGCTTTTTTAGATCTGGACCATGCTTTGAAGTCAAAACATATTTATTGTCTTGAGTTAGAATTTGTTTCATGCTAAGATTGATATACACCATCTAATCATTGATTCTACTCATTGACTAATTACTTAATGTGATTAAGTGATTGGTTTCATGATCTAAGGTGCTAGCTATTTGAGTAAATGAGACTGTATAACACTGTGAAGTAGGATGAGTGGGGAGCTGGCAATCATTAACCTATCCAAGGCATTGGGCCATCAACTAGATTCCATCACCTTCATTTTATATTCTCTCCCTTTTCTAATTGATTACTCCACCCTCTGAAATGATTTTAACGATGCTTAGTATTGGTAAGGTTTGAATGAATTAGCTCATTCACCCCTGAAATTAATTTCATGATCAACCATGTTTCTTCAGGGGTTAATGAGTTAAAAATAAGCGAGTTCATTTTAAGGTGGAGTTTTAATAATTTCAATCTATTACCTGGTACTATGCTACATACTTATGGGTAGCTTTTGCTGACAACGTGTAGCATTCTCTCCTCCCTAATAAAACAGTACAGGCTGAGTGAAGTCAATCCTGAGAATCAGAGGTTAACTCGAGGTCAGAGGACTGAATATACAGAACAGGAAATCTTTACAATAACAAATTTGTGAAAATATTGAAAACGAAACATTTAGAATACAAATTTGTTATCTGTTGTTGTGTAGCAAAAATATTTCCAAATGAAAATATTATTTGTTACGATGTTTACAGGACAGTGGATAATGGACTGTCTTTCAGAGAGAGATTTCTTTAGATGTTCTAGGATAGAGAAATATTGAGTGACGACATCAAAACAGTGATATGATATTAGGACATTAAAGTTTACAATTAATATTTGTAACATCTGTGATAAAAAGTTATTTCTAAATATACCAATACTTTAAATATACAAAGCGCTTTAGAGCGGCTAATTATTATTATTATTACTTGTTTACTGATATAAATGTACAAACTTTAATTTCTATAAATCTATTTTATGTGATATACTTCAATTCCACTATAATGACAACATGTCATTGATACAGTACCCATAGTTTTCCGGTATCTGGTGTTTCTTTGTGTGCCATGAAAACGTCTACATGACTGTGAATGGTAGATGAGTGCATGGCAGTGTTGTGTAAAAAAGTGCGTTTGAGAAAGTGCTACTACAGAAAAAACTAAGTACCGTTATATACTGTTCAAATACAAACTTGATGAGGATAAATGATTGTCATAGTTGATTTTGAATATGCTACAGTAAACATATTAATGTTAAAACTTTACAGAACCCCCAATATTGACTGTACTTATGAGACATTAAAGATGATTGTTTGATTTGTTGAATTTTAGTTAGGGTACTATTAATCAAATTTCTCCAATAGCCACAATATGCTTCCCCACTATGGAGGCAATGGATAAACCTGAAAGGAGGTGGTACACATGTCTTGTTACCCACATCTGGAAAATGTGCAGAAAAGCATCTTAAAATATTGCAATATATATATAGAATTATTGTCTACAGTTTAACATGTCAAAATATTTTACTTTTTAATTGACAATTATTTTTTTTTTTTAATTTTCAAAGATGTTTTGTGTGGGGTTGCAATACACATGTTGAATTTAGTTTGTTATCAAATAGTTACAAGATAATTGTCACATATTTAACAGTATACAGTATTTCTCCATTTATTTTGATGATAAAGACTCGTTGACATTTATATTATTTATTTAGAACATCAATAGAAGAAAATGGTAACCATATAAAATATCAAGAGACTTTATCATTGATTGATATTGAAAGTAAAATTAATATAGATTGTATGTGTATTCAGAGAGTAAATGAGATATTCAAACCTTATTTATTGATTTGTTTTTATGCTGTATAAAGGATGTGAGAGAAAAGATTGCATGTACATATATTTTATTCTGACGAAATAATAGACGGATGTTTAAAAATTATTCTCGAGTGCAAATTATGTTGTACGATAGAATTATGAATTGTAAGTAATAGAAGGGAAATGGTCAACCAGAAATGCTGGGATATCGTCCTTATCATGGTGTTATTTCCCATCATTGACTTGAGTGTGGCCATACAGTTGACTGAGGAATGCTGTTTAATTGATGGTTTAAATTATTGTGCAGTACCCTTCGACTTTTTATTTGAAATGAAGTTGTTAATTGTATTTTTGGGAAGGAAAAATAAATATCTCTTTCAGCAGACTTTTCTGTTTAATTTGACCATTCTAGTTTTGCAGGGTATATACTTTGTACACGTAGACAGTAATAATATGGTCAGCACAGACATCCCGCCACAGTGCATGATATAGGACTGATATTAGCTTTGTTTACAAAATTTCTATCTGCCATATGCTTTCTTAAGTGATCCTTATCAGAAGACATGCTTGAATTGTTGATGCGTTTTAATAAATAAGTTATAACAATATGCATAATGGATAAAGATTTATGTATATGTGTCAAGGTTATAATTTTGCGATTTAAACAAATAAGTTTGTCAAAAAAATCTTTAAAATCAACTATTCAGTGATAAACATGGCCTATACATTGTGTTTTTCTCAAGTTAAGTGCAATGCTATTTTACCACTTTTGTACATTTTCATTTGGAATATCAGCTTTTAGCTATATCAGACACATATATCTCCTTTCTGACTTTAAAGTTCTTAACCTCTGCTGCCATACAGTATCATGCCAAGGGGATACCAGTAGGTAGGGAATACCTCTGTTATTAGAAGAAAATCATTTAAAAGTATATTTCAACAAACCTTATAATGATTACTTGATCTCAAATAAATTTCACTGCCACTTGATTCTATTACGTATGTAATGTTCACACCCACACCTTATTAGGAATGGAGTATTTCACTGATTTCATCAAAACTCAAGTACATTTGTGTAAATATGTCATAAATATCCTTTTTATGGTTGATAGACCTTGTCTGTTATGGTGAAACCATTTTAATTCTAACTTAACATGATTGACCACTTCTTGTGTTCATCTGTTCCCCAGAGATTTGCTTGTGTGTCAAACCACATGTATATAGTCTGTTCTATTCTGAATAAGGTGAGATAATTGGCTACTAGTCAGCTCTATTCTGAATAAGGTGAGATAATTAGCTACTAGTCGGCTCTATTCTGAATAAGGTGAGATAATTGGCTACTAGTCAGCTCTATTCTGAATAAGGTTTTAGTCGGCTGGTGAAGGTTACAATATATTTTCTGTTCAAACTTCATTCATCATATCAGCATGAACCTACGGTAATCCCATAAAATCCTTGCATAATGCAGTATCTCTTGTGAATTCTGTTGTTTTAATTATTTGCCAATTGATCAGAGGGGAATGTCATTACAACACGAAATTGAATTACGCGAGTGTCAACCGAATTATTGAAAATAAAATATATTTGAAATCTATTTGACTAGGTTTTGTTTTATTCTATCAGACATCATTCTATTAATGTTCAATATAATATGTTGACTTATTGTAAATTAACTTGTGAATATTGGTTTAAACAGAAGATTTTACTCCTTGTGTCGTGGTTTCTTTTTTAAGTGCAATCATGTTAATCTTTAGATACAAGCCGATAGATTATATACTGGTGGATTTCTCGGTCCCCTTGGTGTGCCGTGACCTTGATGGCCAGTCATCTCTGAGTAGTGGTACGTCGATTATATACTGGTGGACTTTTTAGTCCCCTTGGTGTGCCGTGACCTTGATGGCCACAGTCATCTCTCTGAGTAGTGGTACGTTGACTATATACTGGTGGATTTCTCAGTCCCATTGGTGTACCGTGACCTTGATGGCCACAGTAATCTCTCTGAGTAGTGGTACGTAGACTATATACTGATGGATTGCTCGGTCCCCTTGGTGTGCCGTGACCTTGATGGCCAGTCATCTCTGAGTAGTGGTACGTCGACTATATACTGGTGGACTTTTTAGTCCCCTTGGTGTGCCGTGACCTTGATGGCCAGTCCTCTCTGAGTAGTGGTACGTCGATTATATACTGGTGGACTTTTTAGTCCCGTTGGTGTGCCGTGACCTTGATGGCCACAGTCATCTCTCCGAGAAGTGGTACGTAGACTATATACTGATGTATTTCTCGGTCCCCTTGGTGTGCCGTGACCTTGATGGCCACAGTCATCTCTCCGATAAGTGGTACGTAGACTATATACTGATGGATTGCTCGGTCCCCTTGGTGTGCCGTGACCTTGATGGCCACAGTCATCTCTCTGAGAAGTGGTATACGTAGACTATATACTGGTGGATTTCTCAGTTCCCTTGGTGTACTGTGACCTTGATGGCCACAGTCATATCTCTGAGTAGTGGTACGTAGACTATATACTGGTGGATTTCTCGGTCCCCTTGGTGTGCCGTGACCTTGATGGCCACAGTCATCTCTCCGAGAAGTGGTACGTAGACTATATACTGATGGATTTCTCGGTCCCCTTGGTGTGCCGTGACCTTGATGGCCACAGTCATCTCTCTGAGTAGTGGTACGTAGACTATATACTGGTGGACTTTTTAGTCCCCTTGGTGTGCCGTGACCTTGATGGCCACAGTCATCTCTATTGAGAAGTGACACGGTTCGTAACATACACACATGACTCATTATTAATTTAAAATTTAACTATATTTTATTTCTATTTCAACTGTAGACCGATTCACAGGGACCTGATAATATTTGTTACAGGTGTATTTGAATCCAAACTATGGTGAACAGGGTAATTTTTACATATTTGAGGTTTAAATCAATTTTCGGTAAAAAAAAAAAAAAGCCACTCCAAATGATGATAATATATATAGTCGATCTGAACTCCTAAAACCTATGAAATTACTCTTATCACCTTAGTTTGGGTCCAAATATAACTCTAACAAACTAAGTTCCTGTGGTATGTTACAGTGTAATTCATTTTTGGCATTTGTATCAATTAACAGAATTTTTAGGCGCCTCATGTGTGTGTGTGTGTGTGTGTTGCGTCCATCTTGATCACACCTTCAAGATTGGATGAACGCCAATGTCTGCACACACTCACTTAGTCTCTAACTAAGAGTTCTAAGAGTATTTGAGTCTCTAACTTAGTGTATTTGAAGCAAATCGTTTGCGGAAAAACCCAGTGTATCTTTTGTTGCTGTCCGGAAATTTGTCCCTTATTCTCCAAACACAACAACTCGGCACCGGCTTCCTATTCGATTTTCCCAAACGTCCTTCTTGCCACAAGGTAAAGTTCCTGTAGGCAGCTTGCCTCATATATCGGTGCCTGACGTCTGCTTTATCTGAAATCATTTCCAGTAGGTTGGCCTGACATACATCTCCAATATAAAGCACTTCTGGGTCCAACACCAATTTATCCATCTGCTGTAAAAGATATATTGTAGCCCAACAATTTACACGGGACAGAAATATCCTAGATCTCACTTTAAATGTAATGCAAAAATGTACTGCATATACTCATTGTCAATGACCTCATATCTGTTCATCCTTTAATTTCTCAGAAAATAACTTCCTTATGTCTTAAGATGGCGCAGAATAAATGCACCACAAATGTACCTCCGTTAAATACTTTTAATTCCCACCTTTGTAGATTGACACCCGAATTAAGATTTCGCAATCATGCTCTCTCCACTATTTCAAACACCATTTTGCCATTTGACCATTCATAATAAACTAGGTACCGATCGTTTCGAAACACAAAGCTCCGGGGTTTTGCCGCAACATTTCCTCTCCACAACTTTGGGCATCTCATCACAGTGGTGACATATGCACCATGTTGGCGTGTTACGGGGAGGACTGCTTTCCCGATCGTCACGTTTACCACTTTGTAAACAGAGGTAAGAAAACGGGCTAAGGTCCATCTCCACAAGATTGTCAACCAAATGTCTAAAGGCTTCTAGTGACATTTTATGGCGATGCTTCTACAAAACATTGATTGATTGATTGGTTTTACGTCCGCTTCACTACCGAGTAGTTCGGTTAATCAATTCCCACAAATATATAGCGGTAAACAGTTTTAAACGTCCATGTGACGGTACATATATATATATAAAACAAAACACGAAGACTTAATTTCGCTAGCACTTTCGCCCATCTTCGGTCTCTTCATGCGATTTGGATTGAGCTCCAAGCTGGGCAAAAGTGCTAACGAAATTAAGTCTTCATGTTTTGTTTTAAATATGATATATATGTCACGTTTAACATTCGCATTATGCCGACATAGTATACTTACAATGCTTAGTAATAGGATGATTTGTACTTTTTGAAATTGTGAATCTTGTGATTATGGAAGTATGTTTAATCATAATAACCTGTTGTGTCCACAACTCGGTCTTTTCCATGTCCTCGTCACCTCTGTCTAAGACCTGATGGTCTGGACCTCTTCCCTTGCTTCCTCTTTCGCAAACCTGAACTCGATGCAGTTATGAATACGGCTGTTCATTTACTGATAGATCTGTGTGTTTATTTACATTAATCTAAAAAAGTCGGTCAAAGTATATACCAAGTAGAGTTAGACATATCTTATCTTGAGGTTTAACAGTTACGTAACAGGTATACAGGTATTATATATGTATTGATATTTGTTTATCTTATCAAGGGCCCAACAGGGGAAAAACAAATTACGGAAAATTTCAAAATTCAGATGGCAAAATAAAAGTGTGGATGGGAGAAAAACACCACAACACCCTGGCGAGGAATATAAAGCATTTCAGACAATCATTTAATGGTTAGTAAAAGTGCGCCTATTGCCACTGGGTCATTAATTACAGTTTCCTTTTTAACCCGCAGTATCCCCTGACTCCCTATAAGCTAGTGGCGCCCCCCTTCGCAGGACTTTACCGATTGCATCACGTTTAAAAATACCGAAACCGACTTCAACCGGATCACGTTGAACACGGGCCAAGAGCCATCCCCACGTCGATTTTAACAATGATTGTCTACTCGATCATGAACAGTATCAATATTTACATCTACATGAGAGTCAACTACCACCTAATGCTAGAGTGATATGTGTTTGCTTGTACGCTAGTGTTCATAACATAAAAACTTCAGAATGGACTTCGTAGGGTAGTTCACTCATTATTTTACAAATTGCCCCCCCCCCCCCCCTCCCCCTTCCCACGAGGCAATCAGAGATGCACGATGCACTCATTTCGCAATATTAAACTGTGATTTACCAATAACGTATATGGCCACCTCAGCAATATAACTCGTTTCGGGTTACGTCAAGTCGATGTCGCACCCGATCATTAAACACGATTCGCTGCAAAATTATCGACTTGATCCTTATCGGCAAACGCTTGTTACATTTCCTGCTTTCAAAAAGAACCAAGCTTGCTTGATAACTAAATTTTCGAAAGACGAACTACTAGCAATTGTCATGCTTCTGTTCCGAGTACCGGTCAATGATAAAGATACGGACCTATATCTAGCTGCCTCGTTTGTACTGGATAATGAAACCACAAGAATCATGGTGAGCAATTGTATTGCTTGCTCAGCTAATTGCCCCACAAAGCCACCATCCCCACTTCTTACTTCCATTCTTAGTAATGTTGGTCCAGATGCGGAATTAATGGTGTATAATTTTTGAAGAATTCACAATATCTCTCGTTTAAACTTGAACACCCTTTCCTCAAACATGTTTATACCCCTCTCACTACCTACCTTATACCAATTTTTCGGAACACTCCTTTTCTCTTATCATGAGAGCTTTATTTCAAAGAAAGTAAAAAGGCGATACAAATCTATAATGTTTACTATCTTGGAGGAACCGATAGTGGGCTCAGGATGGGTAAGGTTTTGGATTTAATACTTGTTTCTGAAATTAAATGTTCTGTCTCTTTGTGGTGAGGAATGAAATGACATTGCACGTTTTGATCAATACTTCAAACTCAGATTAGATCGTGGGCAGCATTATGAATTATTCAAGAATTTGCCTCGGGCAATTAGCGTATACAGGAACTGGATGTTACATGATTAGCAACTCAGTCAGTTATATGATTTATAATCATGATAATACCATCCCTAAATCCAAATTAATTATGAACTAAATAGATAAGACAACCGCGTCCGTGTTCGTCATAGATATGGAAGTTGAACACTAAACACTTACTGTAACATAGACATGTATTTATTTAAAAATGTATAAAATAATTAAACAAACGCCAAGGAATGATATACTTTCTAAGTACGATTCATTCATTCTAATTAAAGTCATCTTTCACATGACTTTGTTAACAAAGCCATGTAACAGATTAATTTAAACAAATAACAATTCATTGTGTATTTTCAACATGAAAATAATTTATTTTCATAATCCATGATATTTTGAAAAATATTTATGGTGAAGATTTGTTCATGTTGTTGAAGTTTTGAAGGACACCCCTGTAAACCCATTCACATGGAACTCCTTCCGTTATTTAATTAATAAACACAAATTTCCAAATATTGAGGGGATGATAAAAATCAAATACTAAAGTGTTTTTTTTTAGTTTTCACGCATGCTGCGATATCCATCTTATAAAACTTAGTGGTACCACCTCTTGGCGAAAAAAAATCATAAATTGGGCTTCAAATATTTCACTACAAATTTTAATTGCAAAACATATGCAGCCCACAGTATTTTCAAATAATCTTCTTAATGTTTTCTGTTGAAAATAAAACATGCTATCAGTCACATTAGCAAACACGAAAAACAATCAAAATGTTTCGAATGAAGAATCCTCTGTAAATGAAAATTTCAAAAAGTGAATGTGTCGCTTGAGTATTATAAGAAAGTGATAATCATCTGGCACAAACAACATAATGTTTCCCAATAAGACCATGTTGGCGACCATAAATCTGTCCACAGCTGTCTCAAAATCCTCTATTGTAGGTTTGTCCAATCGAATTCTAGAGTGGAAATAATACAATACAATTTGGTAAGATTATTGTGTGGTTCTAATATGTATTTAGGAATAAAAAGGAAGAATTGTTGACATAATTAAGCCAATATATACAAGTTCACAGTGACCTACTTATCAACCATGTGCTGCTCTTTTTGGCCATTTTCAATATTTGCAGCTTAAGTGTTACGCAATACACCAAAATGATGAAGAAACTTTCTAAAAATAACATGTAGTTTTGTAAAAAAAAGAGACCATTTGTAATTTTGATCCCCCACCTTACCCCCTCATATCTCGGGATGATCTCCAAGCTGATCTTAATTTCATGGCATATCTTGATGGCATAACCACAAGGTATGTATATACAAAAAATCAAACTTATCGATGATAGCCACTAGAAGGCCCAAACTGCCACCCTCCTTTGCCATTGTGTATTTGCATAACAAAATGGGCTGAAACTCGATAATCTTAGGGAAGTTATTGGCCTGAAACTAAAGCGTAAAAGACAAACGGACGGACGGACACACCCACCCACCAAATAGTATCCTCCTTTATAAAACAAGTTAGACATTGCAAAAACTCAGCTATTCTTTTAATTATGATAATCGTGAGCTGGTCCTACTTGTATCAAACATATCAACTCCTGAGTGTTCCTAAACTTTGAAATTTTCTGAAATGCCTAATTTGTTTTTCCTTTCGCATAAGTGGGCCCGGTTATCAATTAATCGTAACCAAATATTAAGTTGGAAAATAAATGATAAACCTGTTTTTTGACATTGCAAGTTCACTCTAAGCAACTGAGTATGCTTATGTATTTTCTTTTGCTTTGTTTAGGCAACAAACACCAAAGCAATGACAAATGAGTTTTGAGAAATTTGCTCGAAACGTTTTTCCGACGACTATATAAATAATAAAATTGATGCTTGAATTTAAAACGTACAAAACGTTCACAGTGTCAACCAAGTATGTTCTCTTGTACTCATAATCCTCCTCAAACATGTACAGATGGTTGACCTGATTGACGAGCCCTAGAGTCTGTATCAGTGTAAATATTGCCATGATAAGTATAAGTACAATCGTGACATTATCCTTGGCACTACTGACCCTCAGTCCGAGCCGTCTGCGCTTCAGACGTTTTCTCACCAACTCTCTGGCGATGAGGACGTTAAGGATTATCAGGGCTAAAAGAGGCACCACAAAATTTATCACTGCGTATATCCATATAACATACACTTTCTGATACAGGAAACTTTCTCCAATTTCTGTCAGATAAACAGAGTAGCAGGTTACAGTACTACTGGCGTTGAAGCACATCGACTCTTCTATCTTCATCGCCACTATTCGGGGGATGTTGTAAATCGCTGAGAAAGACAGCACTGCTACAATGGAGGCAAGCACTCTGACCCTTGAGTAGACCTGGCTGTGTGTTTGTGGGTGACATACAGATAGATACCGGTCAATTGACACAAGGACTAGGATGTACTCGTTACACAATTGCGTCATCATCAGCAGGTAATTAATTGTTATATATCCAAGGGTGTTAAACACATTCAGACCTATATCGGGGTCCACGAATTCGGCTATTAATATGGGCACAGACAGCGCCATGAAGGCGCAGGTTATGAAGGCTATGTCGGACAGAACAAGTGCCTGTAGATACAGGTTGGTTATTGGCGCCATCGACTTCTTCCACAGAACCACTGCCGTCATAACGTTACCTACGTATCCAAAGGCTACCACAAACGGCACAATGACTCCGTACAGTATGAAAATTATGCCGTCGTCTGAAGATGGACGTCCCAGTGACCCATCTATGTCACTGTTGTTGACGAGAAGATATTCGCTGATGTTAACACGGTGGTTCATGGTAACGTGTGAACATGAAGTTATGATAAGACTGAAGATACAATGTTCAGCACCACTATGTCGAGTTCCGAAGCTGTTTAGGTCAGGTTTGCTGTTGCTCGATGACTTACATGTACCGGACAGCATGGGCGCTGTTTCTAATAAACATAGATAATTCAATATTACTGATTGAATTTACTCCAAGGCATAAGTCGATCGGAATGTGTTCGAATGACTTTAGATGCTGACAGGCAATATTGATATTGTATATAAATATTTAACCACCATGAATTATATATTGTTTATGCTGTTAGTATAATGCAAAATAATCACTAAAATTTGATCACGATTTTACTTTAGAAAAAAAAGATTATGCATTGTAGTTTATTAAGTTTGACGAAGAGATCAAAATAAAATAAACAGTGTTTTAAATAATGACTTCATGCTTATTTGTGGTAGTTTAAAGCATTATAATCATGTTATGAATTTAAAAGGAAACTAATATTACTATAATTATATTAACATAAATTTTAAGTGAAATATTTATATTTTAATTAGTGGGAATCTAACTTTAAACAAGATGTTGGTTGACTTATTTTAGAGACAATCACTAAAATTTTCAGCGTCACTGCTGCTTATGAAACGAAAATACAGTTATAGTAAAAGTGCATGTATGTCCACAATTTTAACACTACTTCCGTGCTACACAGTGTTATCTTATTTGTGATTTTAACGTCCATGTCATACAGCGGCTCAAACAATGCCATATAAGAGAGACGTACGAACACGAAAACAACTAAACAGGATGAGTAACTGTTGAATTAATGAGACAAAAAATGACTTAGCAGACACCCATCAGACACCAGAAAAGGTATAAAACTTCCCATGAAGGGTCAAATTTTGCAACAGTGCCAATGGCACATTACAAGGATCATCTGAAGAGCATTTTAAACATCGCTTTATAACCGGATAAATCCACGTACATACCTACGGTCTTTGGTGTCTCTGATCATTATAGATGCTTGACTTTCCAGATCTCCTTCCAAATAGATGAAAGATGAGCAATGGCATTCCCGAAAGCTTGATCTTACTAGCAACCAAAATCCGCTCTACCGTCATTAGGAAGGCTATAACAGTTAAGCTACACACACAATATTATATGATCCACAGTATCAATTGTGATTGAAATCTTAACAAATCTTACAAAGCAATGTACTAGTGCTACATAGGCGAGACACGTATCGAACTTTTACTCATATCAGAACATCATGATGCGCTCGTCTAAGTAAGTGTACATTTTAATTAACAGACATCCATTCCTTGTTGTGCCTCCAAACATAAAGGTGCTTAGCAAAGCTATAATAATACTAATAATAATTAGAGGTTCTTATATACCGCTTTATCACAACCTAGTTCGTAGGTCGTCTCAAAGCGGTTCACACATTATATAGCTAACCAACATACTGATTCAGTGTCCTGAAGAAGGCGTGACGTCACGGATCATGCTGATAGCTAGATGTTTGTCTGTTTAAAGTATTTATCAGTGTTAGTATGTATTGGCCATTTTCCAGTTGAAAATCATTGGAATATTTTCCATTACCTTATATATTACGTTGTATTGTTTATAAAGATAACCCCAATGAGGAAACGTTTGACCTTTGTGTGTTTACTTATAGCTCGTACTGACACAGGAAGCCGCATTGCACAATACATAATAATAGAAAACCTTTCTATATGAAAATGAGCTTTGGTTGGCATTATCGAACGGAACTGTTAGCTAAAGATTACAGACCCATTCGGTCAAACTATAGCGAGTGTCGTTTTGTGTACATGAAACAATGCTATAAACGATTTTTAAATAATGAATGGGAACAAATGAAACATCCTGTATGTCAAATAACGTCAGGTTATTTTGTGTGGTGATAACGCTTAATTATTTATTTTAAATGCATTGTCACAATATTGTAAATTGCTCTCAGTCATAGAACCTTTTGCTTATGGAATAACAGGATGTGGTGTAATATAATTTCTGTTATCCCATACCCAGCATGTTTTATCCCATACCCAACATATGTTAGCACACGCTAAGGTCATTGGGTATTTGTACAAACGGTCAAACCGTATTTTTTTTTGCGATATACAGCACGTTATATATGACCTAGGAGTGATGTGATTGGTCGTTAATTTGAACTTTGACCAAACTACTTTTTGCCATGTGCTCGCCAAGCGGTAAGGTTAACATCTGTCTCATTCACAAGCAGCGCGCCTTTGTTTGGTGGTCCGATTTACGGAGAGACATTACATGTCAACATACACATTGGTCATCCGTGAGTGATTTATTCGTACTCCGATTCACAATAGACAGCAATCAGCTGGTTATCCTGCATAAAAGTAAAACTGCGCGATAAAAAATAGTTCTTGCAATAAAGTTAAAAGTACTTTTATAAAACACTGATGAATAAAGGGAGTTCCTTTTGTGTTTATAGCCGAAGTTAAATAAATTTTGAGATATAGTGTTTCATTTTGTTATTTATTTCTTCAGACACGAATACAAATAGTGTTAAATATTAATACGCGTGCGCGACGTTTGACACGCCGGGGAAAAAAAACCAGGAGTCTGCATGGCTTAATGGACAGAAACACTTCACGAAAGGGTATGGGATAAATAGGTCACACAATTCGTGCCGGTTTGATATCGTATTTATCTCATTCTCGTTAGATAATTTTCGAAAGTCACAAAAGACATTCGCTAAAGCTCGTGTCTTTTGTGACTTTCGAAAATTATCTAACTCGAGTGAGATAAATACGATATCAAACCGGCACCCGTTGTGTAACCTTTATTTATGACGTCATTATTCAATATTTTTGCTGAATATTTATATCAGTTAGTTAACATTCCATTTCCCGGCCATGGTCACTGTTATCAAATATATAATGGCTCTATCGAATGTAATGCTCTCTCTTATCCATATGCTAAGTGATAAAACTAATGTAATATATGCATTGTATTATACACGAAGTGATTATATCTATTATAAGGAAGTGTTTTGAATGATCTATATACGTTTATACAGAAGGATGTACCAGACACAATATTTAGCTTCTCCGATCGGGAAAACGTTGGATGAGAGACATGATATAATAATGCAAATGTAACACCAATTCATGTGAAGTTAAAATAACACATGAGCAAGGACTGATTATATCTATAGCAGGTAAGGGATTCTTAGTGTGTTCATGACTAGTTAACTAGTATATGTAACAGCCTTTTACGTTGTTGTTTTCCTTCCCAAGAAGTAAAATACCAGCCTCCTCTGCTTATGTTTTAAAAGTAAATTCGTCTTTTCAAAATATCAGGCTTTCCTGAAAGGCTGCCTTATGTTGACCTATACATAACGTAGGCGTTTTTTTTAATAAATGCCTCTAAATAAGCGGTTGCGTAAATACCAATATTGTACACATGCTTTCTATGTCTTGCATCACTGATGTCCTACACATCCCCCAGCAAAGGACCTCGTGGAGGGTGTCGAATGAAACACTTACCGTTCCGAAACACATTGTTTCACCTCCGATCATGTTTTAGGATTCATGTCGTCTTCCCTTATGTTTTCGAAACTTCACATATCTCTTTGTTGTCTATTTGCATCGGTTTGGAGTTCTTACAATAACCCCTCGTGTTTTGGTGTTATGGTATGGTGTTAACATCCCGTCGTGTTTCGACGTAATGGTAAAATCTATTGCTAAATCTATATTTTCGTGAACAAATGACGTAAGAAATGCATGTTGAATGAAATGGGAATCGGGTCATCACGAACAAATAATGAAATGTCAGTTAAACGAGTGAGCAAAATCAGGTAATCTACAGAAATTTACATTGTACATCCATGAATCCTAGAAACAAAGAATTTGATATTTTTTTGTAATTTCGTTCTTTCATCATTCCTTTTCGGGGGTTTAACTTTCACGACTTTCGCGGTAACATTTTTTTTCTGTTTTGAAAGAATTTCGCAAAATTAATATCAAATTAATCCTTTCTTGCCAGGGGCCACTAGACCTGACGTCAACAAAAAATAAATCCTGTGAAAGTGACCATTACGGAAAAATGCGAAAATTAGGAACAGCGAAAAATTGCTTCATAATATATAGATTACAATACCATTTTACACGCGTGTGACATAATTATAGGGTCACTCGACAGCGCCTTTTCAGCGAGTCTGATGCAACAGGCACGCTTTATAGTATTGCTGACATTTACGTGATTTATTTAAGTGTTTTACATATATATAATAAAAAGGCGATAATGTCTTCAACATGAGGACGATTTGTACAGATGACATGTAATGAACGCGCTTGTTTCTCATCCACTTAATGCTTTTAAGTTCTGTCAATCTTCACTTGAAAATAGTAATAATTACTACTCATTACTTACAAACCCGTTTAAATATATGCATGTTGTATTGTCGTCGGAAGATGATAAGTATACTATCACTTCAATATAATTTATGCTCAATATTAACAAAAAATAATGGGATTTTGAAAGTTATACACTTCGACTTAAAACATTAAAACCGGTTCCTCTATTCCAACTCTCCGTCATACAGTATGGTTTTAAGAATCAAAATTTTAAATTTACATTAGTGCAAAAAATGACATGAAACATATGACGAAAATATTTTCAAACGTGCTAGATAAGAACAGTGAATATGATAATCGTTTACATAGGTTTGCATTTTTATTTATTCGAGGTAGATAAATTTGACATATGACACATAAATTTGATCTTATGTTATATAATGAAACAAAAGTTGACACCAAATCATTTACATTCTATTAACGGCGGATGACATTTAACGTAAAGGATAACAAATTATGGATCAGTTGTAGAGCAAACAAAATACAAGTATATCCCTAACATGTGTGTAATAAATAGCTATTAGAATGATGAACTGTACAAACATCATTGTAATCAAATGACAATATTATTCATGCTGATACTGGTATTGCTGAACTTCGAGTAAACAACCTATTGTAATGAAGCCAAACCTTTGAATTAGCAAAAATGCTGCGGGAGGCAATTAATAAGCAACAGCGCGCAGTATCGTACATTTCCATATGTCGATGACACATTGCGCTCTGACTCTTCCGAGATGTTACAATATCAGCTGCTGATAGAGCCAGGGGTCACTCCTGATATCAAAGACGAAATTTAAATAAAATAATATATCGCTCAACTTTGGAATAATTTATTTTCGTTATTGATTTTCATTGTAATCACAATTACAAGCGAAATATTTAACATATTTCTTCAAGCTTTCTAAGCTATGATACAGCTGAGCACATGTCATTTACGGTTGTCAAAACACAGTCCATCACCATCAAATTTTACAACGATATGGCAAATATTAAGCGAATCAAGCACTTTTGTCCTATTAGCATTTTCATGAATGTTTCTCAGGAAAATCACAAGGAAGTTGTCAGGACATGAAAGCGATCATTCCAAACATCTCTGCTTCATTATCAGAAAAACAACAATGATGTAAATAGTCTTCGTCTGCATTGTTCACCTCGATCTTAACTGTTGTAAGTTTAGGGTTCTGGCATGTTAGGAGAGAACACGCCTTAACTTATATCGGCAGTTCATCATTTCCTCAACATTCGTTAATTAGCGTTAGGTGTATGCAGGCTGTGTTGGAATCAAGAACAGTTCTGATACTGTTTATATACATGTTACAGAGTTCGCGATTACACATTTTCAACAGATTCGTGCTGATGAACATCTCCTGTATCTGGTCAGACAAGAGAAGAAACACCATCGACTTCTCTGACAGGTCCGTCGGCACACGTAGTAGGACCTCAAACACTTTGTCTCACATGGTCGGCGGATGTGTCTCATTGCCATAAGTCTGGCTGACAATCGGGCATCGCTTTCTGTTACCAGAAGAGAAAGACACAGCACCAGCCCAAGGACCATCAAATACGTCGGCTTCATGTCTGAAAGATAGAAGAATGGAGGTCAATGTATCATACATAACAACTTTATAAGTGCTTATAACATCACTGTTCAAATGTACGAGTATATTATTTCCAGTCGGAATTACTATCAATTATACATATGCTAATTTAAAATGACCAATTTTTGGGAAATATCATATGATTACCATAAATGTGTTCTGCATAATTTGTTTTAAATCAACAACATTTAAAAAAGAGTTTAATGATTTCACATTGACCATGAAAATATTCATATACAAAAACAATCAACATGTTTAGTTTTAGTGCACAAGAATGTTCTGTCTTAACGAAATAAAGTTAGGTTTTGTTTTAATATATACTTATATAGGTTGTATGCATTAAATAAAAGCTTTGTTTCTCATAGTCTGTTACGAATCATAAATAGCTTACCTGTTTTGTGTGTGAATATTCCAATGTAAATGTCTTGATAGCCAGTGTTGTTTACTCTTATAAGGTAAACAGGGATAGTTATATCACGATTAGTGTATATTAAGATTCTCTACGTAATACAAATAAATAAATTACGGTGCCAGTATTAAGGCGGTAGATTTACAGTCCTGGGAAACAAATAAGAGTTTACTCTGCTATCACAGCCAAATTAATAATTTACGTAATCGTAATCGCGGGGGTTTATATAGTTTACTTTTGTAAATGACCATACACGTCATCACCAAGGAATGAAATACGTCAGATTGATTAATGATACGAAAAGAAAAGGCAGGCATTGGTTGGACATGGTCCAAATAGCGCCATACCTATCAATTGTCTTAACTGACGACCATCCCTTTTTTGTTGACAGATAGGTGCACAGACTCTATACGTTACGGTATTAACCACACGATGGTACTACTAGGCTTGCTTTCAACCTCGATTATATTTTATTGAAAAATAACAGGATAACATAATATAAACACATGTGTTGTTGAGAAAAAAAATATAAGATTTTTTTCTCCATTTTTTAAATTACTTGTAAAAGAGAGAACAGATAGAACCTGGTGATTTACATACATCCCTATATGTGTTTTTGTAAAAATGTGGTTTGCAAAAACCAAATAACGATGCAGGAAAAAAATACTTTTTTTAAAATAAAAATCACGGAAATTAGCGTTACGTACATATCCACCTCTGTTTCCACGTTGTGAATTGTTAAAGGGCCACCAATGAGGATATTTTGTGATGCTGTACCTGTAATAAACAAACATGTCTGCTGACATGTTGTTGTTGTCAAGGTTTGTCTTTATGTTAATAGGTCAGGTTTACTGTGTTTTAATAACACGAATGCATTAAATGTCCGACTCTCTACGTCATCAATTCAACATAAGCAAAAAACCAGCAGACTCATCGTATATCGCCGTATCTTGTTAAATGAAATGACGCATGTATGTGACTTTCATACATTATTAGAAACAGATGATATTTAATGGCTTCCCATTGAATGTATGTACCATGTATATTTCACAAGCATGGCAGACTACCGATACTGATACTGTATAACATATTTGTATAAATGTAGGAATACACCGCCATTCTTGTGAATTAGATATAGTATGCAAAGGGAAATCAATATGTTCTATTTGAAATGATACTACGTCAAAAATACGAAAATTATAAACGTAATATTCCAATGACCTCGCGCTTAACATCAGTCTGTGTGCCATTTTGAATAGGCTACTGAACGAAATTCTACTGGTTTTTGTTTTTATCTGGAAAGATTGACTTTCGAAAATGTTGAAATTGTGTAGTGAGGTAAATACTATGCCGAAGTGTAAACAGCAGAGGCGCATCAAAAACCACATACAATGCCGTCGGTTAATGTGCATATAAAAAAGAACAAATCTGCGGCTTTGGTGACATTTTGATTGGTCTATATAATTGGTCTATATCTACACACTTGAAGATATAACATTCTGTAATATATTAATTTACAGGTAAAATGTGATGATTAAATATATGACCCCGTTGACCAAATGGATTGGGTACTAGTTGTTTGTTTGATTTACTTTAGTATTGCAAGAGTAAAGAACATTCGAGTATGTGTCTAAATCCTGGAAACATAAAAGGTTGACCTGTTTGAGGTGTATCTGGTGTTAGAATGTCTATAATCAGCCATCTAATCGACCGAAAAAGATTGAAATGTACAGGTGAGCTCTGTTAAAGACCGCATTCAACTAGAATTACTTTGTTTGATGAGATATATCGTGTGCACATGGTATTGAGTGGGTGAGCACAAGATGCAATTGTGCACTCGCTTCCGAAACCCGAATAAATAATTGTTCGTCATTCAACCATTTTTCGCAAATCGACCAATCAAATACTATTGTTATGGAGGGAAGACATAATTGTCTGGTTAATGAAGGTATCAGATATATATAGACATGTATGATAGACTTATATGATCGTTTTCTTTGTGACACGTTTTAATTCATATGACAATATAGTTTGTTAAATTACATTTTATTTTTTCTTGAGTCCAATTTTGCTACATGTGTTGACTGCTAATGAACAGTTAATCAATATTTGATTAAAATAAAACTCCTTAGCGTTTTCCTTTTAAGCACTTCATTTGAAATCGGATTTTTACTCAAAATAAATCTACATAGGATAAGGCATTTTTAATTCATACCTACATGGGCGACATAGGAATTTGCTATTTATAACCGTGTTACCTATTTTGCCCCTTTATACACCACATCATATTTAATCGAAATAAACATACCTTAACGTCATGCGAGTTCCTGGAATGTGTAGCCTATCCAAGTTGAGTCGGACATTAATTATGGCCATGTGTTAGGCGACGTATGACAACTTTCCTGCTATTGTTTTAATAAATAATAAAAACAGCGAATGTGTTTTGCACTTTCATCATGATTCAAAACATTCCTACGAATTCGGCTAATCTAGCCGGATGCGTAGTTTGTTTAATACAAAGTTATTTCGTGAAAACCGGATCCACTATTTCAACATGTCAGTGGTACTTACCTGTCTGAATTAAAAAAAGACTATGATCATTCTGATCAGAGCAAGAAGCACTACAGTCTTATAATATTTCGCAAATTCAACTTTGTACTAATTCGTGTGTTTCTACATAAAAGTGAAAGCGTCTACGTCTATCAAGCCTGTTTACAATACCTGTACAGGTATTCTTCATTCTTCGTGAACACGGCACGGTTAATTCATTTCATTTCAACAAATTGTATTCATGATGGTATATGAATGGGATCGAACAACATGCTATGACTTTATCAGTTCTCCCCAAAGCAGCACGGTTAATTGAGTGTACCAGTTATTACCAGTTGGAGGTTCTTATAAGAGTATATGTAGTAGTTTATTTGCTGGTTATGTGTGTTTAATGTTTAACAGGCTATTTATTCGATTATGATGTCATTGAAAAAAATGTACAAATCGACAGATTACAGAACCTACTGCTTCTTTAATCTCATACAAAAGTTTGATTAATTCCATTCTGTTATCACGCTATGCATGTGCATCTAATGTGTGACTTATTACACCATTCTCTACTATTCCCGATATCAACCACTATCACCAAAAGCGATATACAAATATAAATTACTACGTTTAATATCAATTACCTCAAACAATCACTACACTACCGTTTTATGTTATATTCAGTAATTTAGATATAACTACTGTTTGTAAGGTTAACATTTTTTAAAGTAAAAGTCCGAAGTTGGTATTGATTTCCTGTTGCTTGTATATTTCAATAAACATTTCATTTCAAGTCAGAAGATACATAATTGATTGTGTAATTGAAGTTCAATGTATTCATCTGAAAATACTTACGAAAACACTTTTATTCTAGGAAAAAAATAGATTCATTATACAATAAAATTATTTATATATGTCACTAAGGTAGGTTGGGATTAGTTTTACGGTCGTGAAAAACAACAGGAAGTGATAAAATACAGGTATTCCAAGAATGTTCATTAATTAACTACTTTCATATTCATTACTTATAAGGTCCATTTTTGGATGTCATTCATGAAGTAGTTCATTGGTTTACGGCAAGAATATAATTATGCAAATTGATATATGAATTTGTAGTGATAACATTGAATGAATTTTTCTTCGGCACGAGAAGAGTTAAAAATAGTTCATAAGATAGTACTAGACATAGTTGACTGAGTATTACTGTTCATTCAAGTATGTTTACCTTGTGATACACATACAATGGCTACATAGATTGACGGTGATTCATATAAGTCTAGTTAGACAGGCGTAACAGGTAGACGTTCACTGAAAATGTCACAGACACTATTTGTGAACAAGTATGTTATATTAAAAGGGCAACGAGCATTGAAATGATTTTTTTTTAAATCCTTCATAATCAGTCATTTGAAGGTAATTCATATTGTATTAATCTTTCTATGATAATAATCTCGTAATGTTGATATTTTTTAATGAGGTATGTGTTCATACAATTTGCAGTCTGTGATTATCAAGTGTCAAATTATGATATTGTGATAAAGCAGCGATTAATCTATATTTCGTAGTTAGAAAACAACTGGAGGTCCGGCCATCCTATTTTGTGTGTGTATTTGAGTGTTATATCAGTCCCGTGGAGATACTAACATTGTGTTAGCGTCACGCAGTAAACATATTTTGAGGTATAGCATAAATTTACTGATCTTTCTTCTTACGCCACTATCTGTGATAATGATTAAACTATTGATCAACATGATGAGAGACATTGTAGATAAAGGAACTGGTGAGCTTTTGATGAGAGACAGTGTAGATAAAGGGACTGCTGAGCGTGTATGCGACCACCCTCTTCTCCTGTTCTTATGACAACAACAACACAATATCATTTCGCAAAGATTTTCTAAAAATTCCGAGAAGACTATCCGTCACTCAGAAATGTCTTGATGACAATTTAGTTATGAAAACAACATCATTTTGCCACTATAATTGACATTTTCCACACCTCCATCGATACCCAAGTTTTAAATGGCATATTGGCTATAACGGCATTACGAAAGAAAAAAATGGCAGGATATGATACACTACCTCAACAAACCTCTTTACTATCGAACAAATCTTGTTTCCATTCCACTATCACTATTGAGATTTAGATAACCTGACAATATAGTCAGGAAAGTCCTTATAATTATCGTGTGTTATTCAAGAGTTTCAGAGTAATAGATTTTCTATTAATGGATCAGAAGGTAAAATCCCCATGCTAGACACTCTCATAACAGGAGGGGATAGAGCTACTCAATCTAAAACACTCACTCACCAGTACCCCTGATTCTAACAACCTACTCCATCACATTTTGGCCGTGATTAGGTATATTAGCTACAGAGCAGGAACCGTCACCAACGAAGAGGCAGGAAAAGGCGGACTGGACTACTGGCCGAAAGATTCGGTTGATAAGATGATAACAAAACTCTTTTGACAAAAAAAAAATACCGATTAAAAGGCGGCAACTATAATTCCGAAAACATTCCGATGGTTATGGTTGTCTCCGGTCTACACTCCTCTTTATTGAGTGATTCCGAACTGTCGTTTCCCGCTATCTAGTGCCATGGATAAAACACCACTGTAAATGGAGCTTGCGGTGTCGCTGTAGATTTTGTTTCTTACTACAGTAAGAATAAGAAATGAAACGGTTATTACCTCAACTAT